AACAAATATGCAGTTTTCTAGGAACGACAGAATAAAATGTAGAATAAATTTCTATAAATCTAATGTTAATATACTTAACGCATTTTATCCATTATGTACACAAAATGAATGCTGCGGGAATGGGTTAGAAACACGATTGTAGAAATCGAAAATTAAAATCGAAAATTAAAATCGAAACTTACTCGAAACAGAATTCGATCTACATGAATTATAAAACAAAATTTTATATTGCTGCTTTATCTTAGCAGTATGTTAATTAATACTTTTAGAAGATAGGTACAACGTGTCAAAATTAATAAGAAGAATGATTATTTCTTTGAGAGTGTATAAACGAACTATGCAGTTTGTGATTCGAATAAAAATTAATTAAGTGCATAAAATGTCTAAAAAAATTTTCTATAAATAAATCAGATTTAAATCTAATAATTTTCCATGAAATTCTTAATTTGAATCTTCATCCAGCTAAAGTGAAAATATACCAAAATCTAGAATCGTTTATATTCTCCCCACAAACGACTTAACAGAACTTTCATTTCATATGCACATAGTATTATCGACACACGACTTATTCATATTTTCAGTTGAATGTATCCGTCGTACATGCATAAATGACGTGGCATGCGAAATATGAAAATTTGTTCCACTTGTTGCCAAACGTCTTATATTGAAGTTAAAAAGCAGTTCAATATTCTTCAAAATTAGGCTGAGAATTTCGAGAATACGTAAAATGATGTATGAAAACATATTTATTTAACAATCTGAAGATTCGAACAGATGTCATTTAACTTTCAATTTATTTCACATAGCCGAACAAAAGAAATAATGATAATTATTAATTATTAAATTCAAATTGTGCGTAAAAACTACCGTGTAAATAGTGGTCTAATTTACCGCGTAAAGAAGAGACTCCAGTAAAAATGTGCCGCATAAATCGAGAATTATATAAAACGTTAGGCGTGAGATTTCGCGAATCATTTATGGAAATGTTATTTCCCACCTTGCATGGATCTTTCCGCCGGAACTTACGATTTACGATGGTATTTCCAGGGAAATGCAAGTTTCATCCTTTCACTTAACTCGCTTAGGTAGTAAATTCCAGCGACCATTGATGACTAACAGGTGGACCACGCTCATTACGAAGATTGCGTTCGCTGTATAAGGTGCAATGTTTCATAGGTATTACGAAATGTTAACGAAGCTTTGTGTCAGCAATTTCAGTCGTGAAAGATAATTGTAATCTCCGCAGTCGAATAGTTCTCTACAAATAGGTTGGGGCTCGGTGTATGTACGCCTTTCCTAGCTTAAGCGTGTTTTACAGCAATAAAAAATATTTTACACCATAGGGGAAGGTGGTTGGTACCATAAATTTCTAGAATCATAATTAAAACATGTAATAGTGGGTGGTGGAAAATAACTAAAATTAATCCTTGTCTAAATTGGTTTACTATCTACTAAACGACGCTAAACGAAACATAGAAAATTTTGTAAACTTACGAGGCAACCAGATGTTCATGACTATTTCTTATCGTGAGAATTAATATATTTAATAAAGGCAATTATAATTTTCGTCAACTCACAATCTACTGGTTTCTGTATTATCATTCTTGAGTTCATCGAATAATTTCAAGTAAATTCGATCGGGAATTTTGATTGGAAAATTTAGATTTGGAAATTCAAAGTTAACAGATAATAGATTCAAAATCTTAAGCATATTCTGAATGATCAAAAAGAGATGTTTCATTTCAAAACTTACAGCAGAGCCATATTTGCAAATTCCTCTTTAATTCTTTAGAACAGGACTTTTAAGATGCAAATCTGTTAGATAATGCGAATGGAAAAAATTCGATTCCTTACAACCGTCATACTGGAAAGAGACTTAAGAAATGATTGGTGAGGCCCGGTGCAGAGGAGCGAGTTTTGTCACGCATTTCAACTGTAAGGTGAAGTCCAACGAGTTCTGTCGCGCGGTGTCGTAGCAGGTATGCTGTAAATAACACACATCTACCAACAAAATGACATGGCATCCAAAAATGAAGACTACGATATTGTTGCTTACTTAATTCTAGAAAGATCTAAGCTACAAACTAAATAACATATCTATGTACACAACTACTATTTAAAACACTTTTTAAACGGATGATATTGTTTATTAAAATAAAAATGTCTATGCAATATTAATCTTGAATACATGAACAACATCGACTAACAGTTTAAAAACATCTTAGATGATATAAACAGCTTATTTTTAAGATTATGTAACTAGAAGAGTTGCAAAGCTTTCTATTTACTGTATCCAGAAGTAACATACGAATTGAAAATTATAAATAAAAAAAATTATTTGGTTTATTTTATATAATTCAATACTACTGTCACGTATTACGACAAAACACATTTATCAATCAATTTTTGTCATGTAATACAATTTTCTTTAACTGCTTAAAAGCGGTGTAAAAAATATTTATTCGAGTTTTCTAGAGTTCGTCTAGAGTAGACACTATTTGTGACACTATTTGTGACACTTTTATGTCTTATGAGTTTAAACAATGTTATTTAGCTACAGAAAAAAGTCAAAATGGAAGGAGCTGGTGGTGCAACCATATAACTCATTACCAAAACGGGCGACAAAAGTTGCGTACGCCAGACTTAAGAGAATCTTTCTTGTGGAAAGGTAGTAATGAGATCCGTGATTGCGAATCTCAGTGGTTACATTCGAAACTTATTGGATATCGTCTAACCTTGATGTCCGAAGCAGTAATTCAATTTTCCTCTTACCTACTTTTGTCACTTGAAACTACGAAAATAAAAGGGAGTTCGTAATACATATATATTAATACATGAATTAATTAACTTAGTTAGATAATTAAATAACTTAATTTTGTAATACCCTGTTTAAAGCTTTTAATGTAAGTTTCTTATAAAATTATATGTTTCTATGACCGATATACGCAAAATACACTTACTTAAATAAGAATCCGAACTGTTTCCACGACGAAATATTTTTCAGTATAAATATTAATGGACTTTCAACTATTCTTTGCAGAAAGATGAAATGAATTTCGTATGTATTATGTATTTGAAACAAGAGAGAAATAGTTTTTAAATGGAGATTAACACTTTCTACATCAATCAAATTCTAAGATATGAGTTTGTTTCAAATTTTTAAATGCCATGTCTAATTTCACAGAACAAAAATTGAAGTATATTTCAATTCTTTTTTTAGGAACTAATGTTTAGTTGATTTGAACGATATTTCGAAAATGAATCAAGTTAAATATCTCAAATTTTCTCATGAAAGGTGCATTGAAATGAAAATTTGTATAAATAATAATTCTGTATATGGCACCTTCTATTGTCATATATAATTTATGATAATTCTGTAACCCAAATCGTACGGATAAATATTTAATGTAAATATATCAAATGAATTTATGGAAATAAGAATGTAACACGGAAAATGGAGTACGCTTTAATAATTTAAATACATAGGTTAAAATTCATTTACTGAATTTGCATACAATTATAACACGAAGTATTACAAAAGGACGGCAAAAATATATATATAGATTTAGAAACTTATTAAAAAATAGTAAAGTATAATGACTTATAATATCTTTTTAATTGTTGACAGATTATTATGAAATTATTCATGAACTTCTCATTTCACATCAACATACTTAGATATCTGTACCACTTTTTAATTTCGTCCTCACTGGACCGAAAAGTTTCGCGAAATCAAACAGAATTGAAGCCCAAAGATAATTCGTCTAAATTGCACTTTCCGCTCGCCGCTGGAATGAATCAGAGCATTGTAACGCGTTCCCGCGAATCAATGGGTTTAGAGCGACCCAATCTGATCGTAGATAAGCTCGTCCAAACAAAAGGGAACTGTCTGAGGAAACCCAATATACAATTAACTTCCGAAACCGAATCACGGTTGACAACGGACCGGAGCTAACTTCAAGTCGATGAATACGATCGAAGATTTAATAACCGTTTAATCACGGATGCACGAAGGTTTTAATCTATATTATACTACGCTCCCCTTTGAAATCGCTTTGATGTATTACGTGCATTAATTACATTAATTACAATGTATGAGAGAAATGTAATAATTTGATAACACAACCAGCCCGCATTTCAGTGTTTACGTTCAAAATATTCATCAACTTTGAAGCGCAAGAAATGCGTAATTAAAAAGCGTGGCACAAGGTTGCGTCACGGAATGGACAATCGGGTGACAATAACGGTTTTGGAGGTGCAGGTAGCACGGTGACATTAGGTACGTCAATACATCGTGTCCCACAGGAGCAACGAACGTCGTTGAAACACATATTCTAACCTAACAAGCGTGTCCCCGCTCACACGTAGTTGGCAAACGGTGTTTGTTTAACTTGTTCATCGGATTCGCGCCTAACCATCCATCGCTGCAACGTCGTGCGTTTCCATCGGGCTACCGCATCGGTGTGTACTCAGACAGAACTTTCAGTCCCCCCCCTTTATATTTCATTGGTCCCGCACTTTTTATTTACTCGTCTCGTAAAATATTATAAAACGTAAACAAATGGAGGGAAATGGGGGACACGCGGCGATTAAATGTACGACGATCGAACTATAGACACCGGGGTGTGATAAAGTCACCAAGAAAACAAGAATCTAGATTACAATCCGCGTTCGGAGATCTGTCACGTCCGATTGACAGCTAGCATCCAACGATACACAGAGCGCGCCACGCAGTCCCCAACTCGATACGCACACCGAATAACCAATGGCGCGTATCTTCTAAAAGAAACACGTTAATCCCACGCAAGGACGACGTGGTGCTCGACGACAGGCGCCCTTGAGACAAGGGTGCGAATGGAAAAATGCGAGTGATAGCGGAAAAAAAGGGCGTGTGAATGCCCGCTGAGTCCCTGGCGTCCACTGTGACACAGGACGAATGACACGAATTGCCCCGTGAAGAACACTAACCGGCGGAAAATTGGGTATGGATTATTGATTACCTGGGTATGCAGTCAGGTGCTGTGCGATCCACTTCCCAGGTGGCAAACAGCTTCATGGGAACAGGCCGGGTGGCCGGGGCTGTCGTCTTTGTACGCTCCGCCATTTTTGGCCCGACGGCCCACAAAAACACTCCCCACACCTTCAGTTCACCGCGGCTCGCGGCTGACTGACTAAGCTCGCTCGTGGCGCCATGTGAACACCACTCGAGCAATCCAACGAATGGTTACGGAAATACACGAAGACACCTTTCGGACAATGCGTAAAATAAACTAACACGAATCGTGAACAGACGCAGACGAGGAGGAATTGGATAAACTCATCCTTGCGGGATTTGATGTTCTACGAGAACTGTAAATATTATCAATGATTGAAAGAATTTTGAGAAAGCGATCATTTAGGATGTATACGATCATAATTGTAGAGATCTTGAATCTGTAGTGTAGATCACTCCTATACAAAATGAATTCTTCGTTATGTTGGGTTAGGTTTGGATTGGGGTCTACATTACCGACACTACCGAATATGTTCTATCATTGGAGCACACTCTACTCGAATTAAATGTTCAGTTAGCCAACTATGTAAAGCTGCAACAAAATCAGACATGAAAAAATGAATATCTTTTATTACTTCTTGTTCACCATCTAATCTATTTTAATTTTTTTTTATTCTGGCCTACATTTTGCGTCGATTTCTTTCGAAGCTAGATACATAGTGTTGTTTTACAAAATTTAAATGTAGAATCAAATTATATTTGTAGGGAAACAAAGTATTAGATATTTGTAATTTTCATACAAATAACTTATTTGGCGTTATCTTGAGTTTCAGCAACCTGTCTAATTAACTTGTTTGTACCATTCTATCATTTAATGAGAACTGAATTAGCAATAAAAAATTCTTGCAAAATTGGCATCAGAATATAATACAGAAGATTATAATTTAAATTAAAAAACATAAATACAATTGACAAATTTTACAAACTTCCAAAGATTTGTCTTAATCAATATATACAGCGTAAAATATTAATTTCAAATCAAAGAAAAAAGTTAAAACGCTAATGTAATTTATAAAATAATTACTGGTATAAAAATATAAATTATATGCATGCTAAAAATGCACATGCTTATGGATGATTACAAATTATGTATCACTGTATTTAATAAACACTAGCACCATTATTTAAATGTAAATGACTTTTTCATTTGTTTTCTCCAAATCAGATTACAAACCCTAATTCTTATTTTTGTTAACAGTAGCGGAAAATAGTGTATTACCGATAATATCGGTAGTAATAAAAATGATAAAATGGTAAAGGTGTTTGATAATATCATAGACTAGTTTTTAGTAACACAACTGTTCCTTGTATGTAGTTTGAGCTCGTTTGCGTTTAAATTGAAGCACTTCAAAAGTACTTTATGTATTCAATAGAAATAAATTCGGCGTAACTTAAGTATTCATTACTAAAATATCTTAAACATTTTTTGAATTAAGACATTATCAATTACAGTTTCCATAAATAGGTTTCATTAAAAATAATTAAAATATTTAAATAATTTTTCTAGAAATTCATTACTGGAATTTATATCTTTAGATTTATAAACCTTTTCACCTTTCACTGTTAATGTTTATGCAATTGTACAGTAAATTGGTAGCATTTGTTCAACAACTTCTTTTATATTCATTAACAAGAATCACTTTCATCACTCTAAAATTTTTTAAATTCATTTTTGGACATTATGTGATAAACACTAAGAGTCTCGTTTATAAATTAATGCACGTATATTGCAAAAAATATCTTTAATATTATCGTTTACTATACATTATCATGTTACAAAATTTAAAATACAGAAAATTTAATTTCGTATGAACGAACTTAAGAACAAATATTATTTTATTAAATAAAACTCGGTAATTTTTGTACAAATCTGATAACTTTGCATACTTTTTCTGTAAATACAATATTAATATGTATTTTTTTTAAATACTTGAATCGAATATAAAAAGAATTAAAATGCTATTAAAAATAATAGGATTTTTTAATTATTACTAACATTTTTAAAGAATTTTTTATTACAAAAATGCATAGGTGACATGAAGAATCAAATAAATATACACATTTTGTATCTCAAACCATCTTTCCAGTTATTGCATATGGTTACCAATTAAATCAAATGATTCGATAAACACCACATTAATACAGGTTGGGTACCTGCTACAAAGAGTATAAAATAAAGTCTCCTTTTGTTACCAGATGCCGTGTATGCGCTGTTATTCCGTGGAAGGACTCTTAACTTTAATGAACGAATAACAAAAAATGCTAAAGAAATACTACAGTACAATAAAGACATATAATAACCAAATTTCCGAAACAGTAACCAAGACAATAGAGCTGCGTTAATTCCGACGTATTTATAGCCACAATAAGCAAATAAATCTAACGTTGAGAGACTCGTTTCAAGGTGCATGATATACAGACTTATAGCCTGTATTAGAATTTCTATAATATTCCACGCAAGAGCGGAACTGGCTAAAGTACCTAATGGAGAAAATCGTTCCTGAATTCCTAAGATTAACGAAGCTATAACTATATATGTCACAAAGGCCATAGTTGGAATATACATATCCAAGGCATTTCTCTCAAAACGTGGTTGCAATGGTATATCTTGTTCATACCTGACGGACCAATCCTGTTGAAAAGATTAATTATTTAGAATTTCATACAAATTAGTAGATCTCTAAAACTTACTTTATGGAGGAATGGGAAGAACAACAAAGACAGTTTCGTCATAACATAATTTGTGTCAACGGCAAAGTAATACTTCAAAGCTGTGACAGGCACATATTTTTCAAATTTTTGGCTTCCATATCCCACCAAAGCATTGCCATATTGCATAGCTACATTTGTGACTATCGGTTCTGCCAATAATTGCGTTGTAAATTGTGTTGTTGCATATTCATCTCCATGATTTTCACTAGGTGGATAGCTTTGCATTGGCACTGTACTGAATCCATATGGAGGTGGCTGTTGTTGCGGCACATTGAAACCATATTCAGGTATCATACCATTGTTCATAGGAACCTAACAATAAAAATGATAACTCCTTGTACTTCATAAAATGCGTGGATTCTTAAACAGCTTAAAATCATTTTTCTATGCTATACATTTTTGAACAATTTTACCTGTTGATTATAGATATATTGGCTTTGAGGCGAAGACGTTGGAGCAGATAAACCAGCAGATGGATCGAGTAATCTCTTAGCTTTCCCTGTTAAAAATTTTTATTCTACACATTACATTACACAATAATATAAAATTAAATTCGGATTTTACATATAAGGTTATCTTGACAGGTAATCCATAAGAATCACTAAATAAAAAGACCTCATAACATCATAACCTCTTTGAGTTATCATATGCCTGTACGACTAAATTTTATTATATTTTTTTAATAATATAATACATTTAGGACTAATATCCATAACTTCTTCTAATATAACTTAATGAAAATAAAATATATATTATATTAATATTACAAAACAGTTTGACGTAATACACATTCGTATCCTTATAAACTTACCTCGACGTGCACTTGAATGATTGTAATTCATTGTTCCTTCAATCGATTTCCTTAACTAGTAGATAAAAACACTTAATTTTAATGCCAATTTAATATCCTGCGGTTTAAGTCGCACTATTTATACAATGAAAATTGAAAACAATTCACATTATAAGTCGCCATAGCACAGAGTACAGTTCTCTGCGGCCATACTTCGTTATTCATGGAGTCTCCCACTCTCAATATGTTATAGTTCTGTCATCTTGGATATTTTTTAAACTATTGTTATATTCTTTATCTATATTTTATGATTGTTATATGTATTCTAATACATATATGTTGTTTAAATAAGCAATATTTAAAATAGATACCAGTAATTATAAGAGTTTCTGATGAATTTCATTCATATTTATAAGTACCCATATGACTAGTGAATCCAACATCTGACGATACTAAATAAAATATTCTTTCAGAAAATCAATGTTAAATAACTAAAAAAATAATAGCATTAAAGTTCCTGTATGCAATTATTTTGAAATAATAATTAATAGATTTAATATTTATTGAACAATAATAATTACTATCCCTCAGTTGTGACATGTAATATTTAATAATAATTTCAGATATTTTATTAGATATATATAAAATTAAGACTACTTGAATTCTTATGGAGAAAAAAAAATCCTCAGGGGGCACCCGGGTTTGAACCGGGGACCTCTCGATCTGCAGTCGAATGCTCTACCACTGAGCTATACCCCCAGTTGTAATATTGTTTTAAAATTTATTAATTCAACCACAATTAAATTTATGCAAATTTATTTATACAATCATCTACTATATAAATATCAGAAATACAAAAATTCTAAAGTATACCTTTCATTCCTTTTTCACATAAATATCACGTTTCATGCAATTTTTCTCAAGAATAAAATCTGTAATACACAAAATGCGAATAAATGCTTAATACTGATTATAAAGGACACGTTATAAATATAAATAGAATCACTTTACACAATAATATATATTATAAATAAATATATTTAAAACATGACGAAAAGCATTCTTATTATTCTTCTGTTAATATTGAAATACTCTTCATCACTCAAAATTATTCAAATATCTTTATTATATTGTGATATACTTTCTTATTTAGAAAGAAGAATTAAATTATTATATTTTTAAACACCAATGGTTGCAAAAATCTAAATAAGTTGAATAGTTTTTGTACACCGATGCAAAAATGTGGATTTTCTGCTTGTATTGATACGTCACTGAAATTGTGGTAACTAAGCAACCCTTACATTAACTGGTCGCAGTAGCAGAGGGTTGCCAGTGCGCGTCCCACTCTCGCGTGGTGCGGTTTACAATCCCTAGGTCGAGAAAACCTCGTGGAAGCGTCATTCAGTGTCCTAAACACAATTGAAGATTTACACATCACAATGGAAAAAATTCAAAAATTACCGGTACTATTTTTCCGAAAGTAAGCTGCACATTAAATTGCTTTTCCCGGCAAACGTTTAATATGTATTAAATCGAACTATTTGTATTTTCAATCAGAAGCGCACGTGTATAACACTTACAATAGATGATGATCTTCTGATTTTACTTTGAAGAGCACAATATGTTTATGACAGATAAATAGATTTTGACGCACTAGTCAGTATTTATTTTTTCTCCTTTTTCATCCCTTAATATTAATAACATATTATTGGTATGAGAATCTCAACTAATTTCTACAACGGATACGAAAACTCTGTAATTCTGAAAAAGTACAGTATAAATAATTTTCAGCACTAATAGTAATTAAAAATGATAGATTGATAAGATGAATGTAAAAAGTTATATAGTGAACAAATTTAATGGAAACAAGTACAAGTTATTCACAATTTAATTTAATATTTCACTAAGAAATTTGTCTTGAACAATTGAATGAAAAATATTGTTCTGGAAGTCGTGGATTGACATAGTTATAATGTTCTTAATTAATAATACTATTTTAGATAAAACAAAATAATGATTGATTTTACGTATGTATTTGAAACTTAATAGAAAAATAATAAATCCTTAGAAGTGTATCATTTTCATTGAATCATCATTTATACTGAGTCATTGTGTAAGCACTGACTTATTATTATGTAGAATATTATTCACATTGCATTTATTTGGAGCAATACTTTGAATTAATTGTATAACCACTTACGAATGGATCAAGTGACCGTCACGATTGCACTAACTCGTTAAGCGTGAAATTACACCAGTTAAGGGGTGACACATGCTTTACATATATTACATGCACGTAAGGCACATACCACGAACACAATATTACACATGATTTTTGTAACCATTTATTTAAGAATTTTTAACAAACTATTATGACTTAATTTAAATTAATAACTTATTTTATTCTCTTTAATTTAAAAACCCTTGGTAATCTCGTTAAACTGTAAAACGCAAATGTATCTTTCATCAGGTTGTTGTTCAACTCAATTTTTTGCAACAAATGATCATAATAAACAATTAAATAAATTGACATATATTCTTATTAGTGTTCATTCATGAACATGAGGATCAGAACCATGCATCCTCACCGATGCATCATCATATCGGTTACCAAACTCTGCATAGTTGCCCACACCATTGTTATCATGTTCCGGCACCAATCGGTAATCGTAGATGGATCATCGATTTAGTCGCCAATAGACACGATGAATCGAGCGTTCTCACGGTGTTGCTGCACGTAATCTTACATGAAACTGGAGATGTTATCATTAAATATTAATGACGCGCCATCACGAAGAGCGAACGGCCTACGCGAATTATTAACGGAGCAATAACGATCGACGTGCGGCACGGTGAATCAACGAAATAACGATTTTCAGTCATCGCCGCGTTAAGGCAACACGTGCACGTGGGTTCGTTGTACGTGTGTATATATCATTAAACGTGCGCCACTTTGTTAGGGTAGGCTACTCTGATTCAACACTCGAGTTATAACATTCTTGGAATTTTGAATGCACTTTCTTGTAGGTTACGTCCACTTTCCTATTGATTCAAAGAGACTCCATTTCTTATCCTGTTTGTTTCATAGAAGGTTCGTGGTAAATGTTTGTTATTAATAAGTATGAATTACGGTTTGAAAAGAAATTACATGTAATACCATGTTGGAAATAATTCGGATAATGTATTTCTACTGTAAGCAATTTCAATGAATTAATTGATAATTTTTTAGAAATCGTATGAACAATTCATATGATTGCTAATTTTGCTAATTAAATTTTACTATGGTAATGTACTTTTTAATTAATATCACTCATACGATTTCCTTGTAACACTTTTCATAATTTGAAATTCACCGAATGCTTCACCAAATATTCGTGGATGGTAATATTTATATTGATTCAATTTTTCATAAGAAATAAAAAAATTGTACAGTAATCATCAAATATAAAAAAATCGAAATTCTGAGTTCAATTGTAATTACAGATCATTTTGGATGTAGGGAAGCCATTAAAATGTTGAAACATTTGCTATAAAAACATATTTCAATAAATGTGAAAAACTTCTTACTTTGATATGAAAAAGTTTTTACTTTTCATAACATTACATTGTAATTATTAATTAGCAGGGCGAACCATTGTGCAAATTCTACTTGTAGAATTCTGGAATAAATCAATTTAGACACCTACCGTTTCGTTCTTGGTGCATATATTTCCGTGATATTTTTTAAGATCGATATGTACGTACTTAGCAATTACTGGACACGCAGCTGCACAAAAAGAGCACGATCGTGACGATAATTATTCAGTCACAAGTTCCTACTCTTGACACACCGTTAAGAATGTTGAGTAACACTCGTGCAACCAATTCGGTGTTTTTTTATAAGGACCGTGTTTCTTTCGGTAACAAACATCCGCCTCGTGGATTTCACGAAAAGAATTGCACAAGAATCGCGACACTACGAAGCAGAATTCAGAAGGGATAGATCGTAACTTCAAAACCGCTATCGATTCTCACGTACTGTTGCACACATTACAAACTGACTTGAAGTCTGGTTCCACGATAGCGTGACACGTGACGGGAAACAGCCTAAGAACGTAGACACTGTTGTTTAAGAACGGCAGTAACACCGTTCGAATTGCGGAGAAAATTGTTTCGATGATACATATGATGCGGGAAAGAAATTTTCTCTATTCACGTCCTTCTGACATTGCCCGACAAAACTGGTCTATCAGAGTTAACAGAAATAGTTCACTATTCAACCAATCGCTTAATTTTTAAAGAACAAATCGTTGACAATGATGTATCGTTTGACATGAAAATCATGTTTTCAGAAAAGCAATGCTTTGAACAAAATTCACCGGTTATATTATTGCAATAATTAAAAATGGGATAGATGAATTTACAATATCTACAACTATATCAAGTTTAATCTAGCGTAATATTCAACAAAAATTTATATGTTTTTCATTATATTTGAAACTGGGTAAAACATGTAACAAAGAGAATTAATGTTTATGTTTTTTGGGTTTCAGTAAATTAGACCAAAAAAATTGATATTTGCGTAAACATCAGCAGTCTGTTAATCAAGTATGCAGAATGGAGAGCGGAAGCTTTAATTACCATTATGACTTGTAACTTATAGTGCAGTCACGATTGTATCAATAATTCGATTGGATTTCTCATTTTCCAAGATCTACTCGTATCAAACTGCTGTTCCGCGGATAGCTTCAAGGACATTCGTCGACAGTCGATGGAAGTAATATCGCTTAGTGCTACTATGCAAGTGGCGTGCACAGCTGTCCGCTGTTAATTTCTTATCAAACTTCTTTTTCCTTGAAAATTAATCGATTCATATCGCTCTATTTTCCGGGCACATACTCGGCGGTTGAACGCCCAACTTTCGGATGCGCTCGTTTCTTCCGACACTCTCCGCTTTATAACCATTGCAATGCAGCAAAGTTTAATAAATTCTAGCTCCACGCTGACAGAATTAGGTTTCCTATTCTTGCGTTCGTTCGTTCTACAATTCTTTCAATTTCGAGTTATGTGTATTTTTGTAATCACTGATTAATTGACGTTTTTCTTCAAACTGTGAAATACAAGAAAACAAAATATAAAAAAATAGAAATGAATTTCACTATATTTTTCTGTAAACAATATTGATAACAAAAATTAAATTCTTATTTCCTCCGGATTTTTTTTTCTTTTTAGTATTATACTATAGGATTTATTAAGTTCTTCCATTAAGAACATAACGAAATTATTATTCAATTTAATATTGAATTCAGTTAACTTTAAAACACTTCCACGCGTTGGAAACCTTTATAGTCATTCATTGGGAAACGAATTTTAGCACTTTATTTCAGAAAATGCATTATGATCCTGTATATTTAAAAAATGTATATTAATTATGAAATGTTCACATATTAAATAACACATATTAAATCACGCAATCAATAGTTAAACATTACTGACGTGCCTGAATAACAACTAAATTCGTTAAAATGTAAATTTTTAATCTTCTCCGATGTCAGTAGTTCCGCGTGGCAACCAGTTCACCCATAATAAGTGGGCTTCCAGGCAATTAAAGCGACTGAAACGAATGAGCTGCTGCGCCTTCTGGCACATTTATTTCTTCCCGTGCTTCTTATCGTGCTTCGTATAAAATTGTTACCGTATGTCTCCATTGTCCAGTTATACCTTTGACATTCAACAATTAACACAAAATTCACAGTGCCCTTTAAAAGCCAGTACATTGTTAATATATTTTAATGATCAATCACATCAATTTCATTCACGTTCAAATAACAAATTCGATGTATTTACGACGAAAATGAATAAAAAGATAACTCTTATCACAGTTTCTATTTCATTTTCAATATGACCAAATCATGGATAAAGAAAGTAAATTTTTATTCAGTTCCAAAACTACGTAAATCAATACACGAAATTCGGAAATTAGGAGATCGAAACCCTGGCCTGTATACATAGTTCGAAATGACTATGATACAGAAATAAGGGTTAAAATTCGACATGTCGCGACCTTGCCGTGAAATCTAGCATAATAGTTTCCTACGGGTGATAGGTGTTGTGGCGTTAGGTTTCTATGGCAGCGAGTGACCTGGTCAGTCCACCACGTGGACAGTAACCGAGCTTTAAATTCGGGTCGAGTTTAGTGATAAGTTCCTGATAGGATCTGCGATCGTGCCGGCCCGTCTTGAGGGAACGAGGCCTCGGTATCTGTCAGTCAGTCAATTATTAACCAAACTATTCTTTACATCAGTCTATAGAATGAGGTTTATTAGAAAACTGGCCAACCGATCGATATCGCCTTCTCTCGTACAAAATTAGCGAAAAAAAATGAATTTGCGAACGTTTATCATCGTTTGTCGCGAGGACGCGTCATTACCGAATTAGCTTTGCCGTATTACTGCGGGTGAGTGCAACACCTACCGTTCCTGTATTGGTGATCATTATTGGTGTGGCTGTTAGTTGTTCATTCTCAGTCACGCAGTGGCTGTGTTTACTTCTCGCGCGGCAACAGTAGTTGAAATCGCTTCGTTTAAACGGATAGCCTGGGAATTACGAAGTAAAAATGGCTGAAACGAGGATCGGGCACAGTGGATAAACTTTTGGATCCGAACTCGCCCGGAAGCGGCTTGTATTTGTAGACTGTAATTTCAATGATTATAACTTTATAACTTCCTTCCTTCAATCAAGATTAACACCAAAGTCTAATCCAACTATGTCAGACGATGTTCCGATGAAGTTCTTCCATGCCTGGGAGCTTTAGAGATCACTGTAATAACCGTGAATGTCGTATATGTGTGTCTATATTCAAAATTACATTTTGTGTTAAATAGAGTTTGGGTATGTTTGACAATTTTCACGATAAACAGAGAAATAGAAGAAGTAATATTAAGAACTGAACAATAGCTGAAAATAATGTATTTCGTTGTAAACCAATAATTTGAAAGAACAGTTAGAATTTTAGAATTATCCAAATCTTTTGGCAAGAATCCTTTATAATTAATTTCAATGATTCATTTCTCCAAACAATCTACTTTTAATTTATTGTTATTAGTTTCAATTCGACATAGATTTTATACTCATTTCGACGAAACAAAGAGATAATGTAAAAGAAGAATTCAGGTATCAACAATACGGAATGATAAGTATTCAACACTTAACCAGTTAATTACGTTTGACAAGTATACACATCATCTTAAAGCTTGAAATGATACTAACTCTTTCAACGATGAATTATTTATTTTTTCAAATAAACATATAATTCATTTTTGTTTTGCTTTGGTATTTCATTAAAATATACCCTAGGTGCCATTCGTTCTGCGTTTGAAGAATACGCATTTCATTTTTTCATTTTATGATCACTTTTTCATTCAAAACCAACGCTTAGTGCTCAGTATTTAACTCTTCAACCCATGACTTCTTTCATAACTACACTACCTGGAATTACCTTGTCATTAATCATTTTCTAGAAACGCAGAAAAATTCCACCTTTATCTATATCCACATTTACTTTAAAGCATAAGAATTGATAAGAAAAGAATAGTATTTATTTTGAGTCCGAAAAAGTAATCGTCACCTATTTTGTTAACAGTGAGAATAGCATTTTTACAAAAATAATTATTTGTTGAAATAAAAAATTACAAAAATAATTATTTTTGTTAAAAATTATAGGTCAGTTAATGTATATTGAGAAAATAAATCTATTTTTCTTAAAAGTTTTTATTTTAAGGAACTTGAGGGGTTAATACCTACGCTCATACATATGAAATCAATTTTTTCCGAAACAGTGAGACACTTCAGTGAGCGGTGAAGTAGAGGACAATCTCTTCGGCGCGATGAATTCGGTCCGTCGACAGGGTGAAAGATGTTTCCACGCGAGATTGGACTAGTTTCGAACCGGTGCCAGAGACGGGCATGGACACGAAGACTCCACCCATCCCGTTGAAGGTCCAGGAGAAGCCTAAACCAAGACAGCAGGAAAGTGTGGCTGACGTGTCACTGCCCCCGCTGACACCATACAAGAATCATCGTCCGAAGCAAAAAACCGCTGGGACTCAGTGGTCGCGTGATGCGCCAAGTGCTATACGGTATCAGGATCATCAGAAAAAAAGGCCTTACAGGTATACTTGCCCCTTCGATCGATATGCATTTCTTCGAGCGTTGTTTAGAGCACGTTTCTCTGTTCTTACACGCTTAAAGTTTAAATGCTTTCTATGATAAGCCTTTATGTTGGGATTATTCAAATATTTTAAATCACGGAGTGCATTATATCGAAATGAAAATTTTTTAATATTAACCCTCCGCGCTCGAAAGTTTTTTAATAGAAATGTTCAAAATTTTTTTATTAGATATAATTATATTATATGAGAAATAACATTTTTAAAAAACTAGAGTATACCTATCTTTTGGTCTTAATTAAATGTATATTATATTATATGTATATTATAGACGACAGTTTTTGAAACTGGTTTGAAAAGAAATCGTACGTAAATTAAGTAATAAAGGTAATTTATTTCAGTAATTTTATATATTGATAGATTGTTCAAAGTTTAATGCTAAATATCGAGTTTTTTAATTTTAATAAACCAAATGGTGATCGAGAGTCGCCTCGCAAAGGATTAATGTTTCAAGCAAGAAACATTTCTGATAATGAAATTTTTTTAATTGAAGAAATTGAAAATGTGGAAAACAATTTTGGAATACTATTTTTCCTGAAAATCATAAGGTGACGTGCTTATAATAACACTAATTTCACTTTCCTCATCTCAAATATGAATTTCGTGAAGAAGTTCCATTTTCCTAAAGTCTATACGCTTTCCTTTAAAACCTCTACAAAGTGATAAAATAATTGACACATAATTATCAGTCACATGTTCTATCTTAGTACTAAGAAAAAAAGTTTTATCAAGTATTAATCTACGAGGACATTTCAAGACATAATTGCCAAAAGTTATAGAATTCGATTATCAAGCTCAACTATCCTACGAAATGTTGAATACAAGTAAGTAACTGTAGCAAAAGTCCTTAATTATTCCAGAGTGCTGCAAATTGGCGCAACGCCGTTGATGCACGCTTGTCAACAAGGTGATAGAGCACGGGTCCTAAGACTGTTAAAGGAGCAAGAAGAAACGATAGGTTACAGGGATCGGACACTGAGGAGCGCTTTACATTATTGCATGGACGCTGGAACCGGAGGTGCCGTCGCTTCGGCGGCACCGGAACTGGTAAATGCGCCCGACGCCGAAGGACACACTCCACTTCATTTAGCAGTTATCGCCGGCGACACACAATTGGTGGCCGTTCTGCTGGCTAACGGGGCTGACGTTAATGCCAAAGATTTGGAGGGACACAGCGTTCTTCACTGGGCCACTGGTAACTTTTTTCAACATATTTAATAACTAAATATTAATATTTTTTATAGTAATTCAATTAATGAAATGAATGAATTAATGTTCGTTAAATTAATTTATTAACCCTCCAACCCTGGACAACGTGGAATTCTAAATATTTTGCAAAATATTCTCGCTTAACTGAGTGTTAACTTCTCTTGAGTATTTTATCAGACTATTGTTAGTTATCATCTGTCTCGTTAGTTAGTTAGATTTTATCTAATTCTTAGGAAGCATCTGCATAACAAGTAAAACTAGCCCGCGATTTCATACCGAAAAATCAAAAACTCACCCGCGGTTAGTGAGTGAAATATTAATATTTTAAAATTGGAATTACAAACAAATAAAAAGCATTAGAATATTAACTAAAATAGAGCATCCCATAAGACCGTGAAAATAGGTAAAAAAGTTGATTTATAGAATCTAATCATTCAGACAGTAAATACAAGATTAAACAATTTTTAATTTGACTAACTCTTTTTTAACTGAATTTTCAATGATATTTAATTAAGAAAAGTGATAGGTGCTCTGCAGTTCCTTTAAAATGTTATTTTTTATCTCGTTTATTTAATGAATGATTCATTCGTAGTAAATTTTGTACACTACCTATTTAATGAAAAGTAATAAATAAACCAACTTTCAAATTTGCATGCCAAATTACATGCCTCGATGTACGGCGGATCACCTGAAAAAGTAGTTACAAGTTATCAGATTTCGATTTGTTTTCCCATGAGAAAATTCCTGATATCGATTTGCATAGTCATTATCTCCGTCATATGCAATAAAACTGGAAACAGCAACATTAGCAGCAAAGTAAAATCTACGAAAACCACAGGGTGTGAAAGTAATAATTTCATGGTCGAACATAGTCAAGGATCATTACGCCATTACAAAAGTAGAAAAAAAACAGGCATCTACTATGAAGGTCCTATGCTAACTGACACGGGTACTATCGAGAAAAGGTCAAATTGTGAGCAGTGGGTGCTCTAACGATAGTTTAAAACCTGCGGAAACTGTGAATTACCAAGCGTATCGTTTCCAAGGATCTCCGTCGGAACGGGAGGGGGTCAGTATTGGTCAAGTAAGGTTAGTGGGTCAGATTCGGTGACGACATTCCGGTTCGCCAAGGAACACGCGAGACTCCATGCCGAGATAATCCTCAGAGATTGACCATAGTCGTCCTTGATGTATTCAAATGACCGGAGATTTATTGCGACCCACCGCAATTGCCCGCTCCTGCTTCCTTTTGACTGGTTTCGCTGCAGAAAAAAGTTCGTATCGGTAGTTGCATCTGTATAATTCTTGGTCGAGCCTCATGCGAGGACAATTCGAATTACGAAGGCTGAGAACTACTTGGAAAGTTTCATTTCGACCCGGTTGATTGCTACTTGGACGCTTGGGGGGTCTAATGATCCACCGTGAACTAAATACGAAACGACAGTGTCTGTTAAATTGATTTTTAGCAATGTTGACCGCTTTTGTATATATCGTACGTTCGATTGAAAGACCGAAAGATCACACTTTTAATATACTAGTCCATTAACACCTTGAGACTGGTGACGACAGCTTTACTATGGCATTCATAAAGGCTAAACATCGCGTGTGTTGCGACATTCATGATTTTATGAATGTCGAAGGACTTTTCAAGATGTTTTACATGTTGATTTTATTCACGCGGAACTAACGAGCCACGTAAAGTTGATTGAGCAAGAAAATTGAAAAATGTTTTCTGATTTACGTACGCATAGAGACTTCTTTCATAGTAATTGGTTCAGATTTGCAATATTATTATAGAAATATTGTAGAGTGCGTGTGATTGTATCGCTTATGAGTGCTACTGCAAAAATACGGTGAAAAGAGGCAATGTAGAGTTAGCAATTATGTTCTTGAATTAATGGATGTTAAAGGTTGCACGCGAAAGATTATGCAATGGTCACAAAGTATGTTTTAAATGAAATCACCATGACCTTTCGTTTCATTATTCACGCAAACGTTTTTGAAATTTTCAGAATAATTCCGGTAATAAATATTAATGTTGCTGTTATCAAGCTTTGTTAAATTAAATGTAAATGGCAACGTTTGTGTACTTCGTGAAAATCTATCATCTTAACTATCAATGTTTGATAATTAATTTACTAGTAAATCTGTTTTTGACTACATTTAGTATGCGGTGAAGCAGAATGTGTCCGACTGGTGTTAGCAGCAGGTGCGCGTCCGTCGACGCCAGATCTCCGTGGAGGATCACCACTTCACTATGCTGCTCAATGTTGCGGAGCAGCAGCCACTGCCGAACTGGCGGTTCCTAAGAAAGTTGGCCTGAAGGTTCTTCAAACCCTTTTGGAATTTGGCGCCGACGTGAACGCAAAGGACGAAGATGGAAGGCAGCCAATTCTATGGGCGGCGAGCGCCGGTAGCGTTGAAGCTGTGTTAGCATTGGCTAGGTAAAATTTCTTCTTACAAATTTGATGAGAAAACAATATCGGTGTTCTATCGTTTTACATTCATACTTTCAATTACGGAATTAATTAAAGATTCAATAATTAGATAATAATTAAATGTATAATAAAAATTCTTTAAATAGTTTTTTTTAATGATCGAGTAGTTTATATTAACTTTTCTTGCTCCTTTCAAGTTTTCCTCTATGTTTAATAATTATTATGCTGTATTAAAAATAATTTGGAATCACTAATTGACAATTCGGTCTTCAAACATACAATTAATATATTTTAAACTTATTATAGTAATATTGAGGAATATTATCTTTGCCGAAATGTCTCTTAAGTATCATTTACGTGTTACTTCATTAAGTGGTGATTTTAAAATAATTGATTTTTAAATATATACATTTGTGCAATGAACACAATTCTACACAAAATCGTATCTGATATGAACTTTTCGTTATGCAGCTTGAAAACCGATATGCTCTAAAAATAATAATTAAAATGTAGAGCCGGTGGTTCAGCTGCTGCAGGAGCTGCAGACAAAGATGGCCTCACGGCTCTTCACTGTGCCGCTTCCAGAGGACACGCAAGGTGCGTGGAGGCTCTGGTCAATTTATGCGGTGCCCACCCCGACCATGTCGATGACAACGGTTGTTCGGCACTGCATTATGCAGCCACTCTCGGCCACGCAGATGCCACTGCCTTGATCCTGAAATTGGGAGCTGATCCTAATCGACAAGATCGGAAGGGTAGAACGTAAGTAGTGTAACAATAAAATATATTGAACACTGATTAAATTAACATGTCTAGCAAAGCTTAACAAATAAAGCAAACATGTATTTAAATTGTTATATAAAATCAAATTATGTTTTGAATTTCTTATAGTTTAAAAGTGCGCGCGCGCGCGTATGTGTGTAGTTTCACGATTTTAATAACTACATGAGAAGAAATTAATGAAGAAATCATTATGAAAGTCATTTTGACTCATTTAATACTCTAAAGCAATTCAAGTATAAAAAATTACTTAAGAGACAATTTAACATTTTTCAGACCGGCGCTCTGTGCTGCAGCAAAGGGTCAACTCGAAACTTTAAAGATCCTAGCACAACATGGTGGTTCTCTGTATGCGAGGACAGTAAGGGGAACCGGAGTTGCGCACGAAGCAGTAGCTTCCGGTAGAATCGAACTGATCAAATGGCTGGCGAAGAAGCGTCCTGGCACTTTGGACGTGGCCACGCACGATGGCAAAACTCCTTTGCACGTAGCCGCTTTACACGGCCATTTAGACGCCTGCAAAGTTCTTTTGGACAACGGCGCAAGGATCAACGCAGTGCTTCGAACCAGTAAAGGCAACTTGATGACAGCTCTTGATGCTGCGCTTTACAGGGGGCACAGGGATTGCGCTAAGTTGATTCAAATGCACGGTGGTACTACGGCTCATCAGCTGAAAATGCAGAAGACTGTACCGAATAAAGGTCAGGTTAGGTACATATACTTATGTGATTTTATGTTTCTTTTATTATTTAAAGCCTTTGATGTTTGAATTCTTGAAGGCAATTTCATTTAATTTTTCTTATAAATAGAACATACACTTACCTCAAGTAGTTTATAGTTACTAATTGTGACCAGATTGCAGCAAAAAAAAATATAAAAAATTCTGCCAAACAATTTTTCATCTTCGAGTTTAAAAAAGAAACGTTTGACTATTTAATGTTTCTGCATATTGTATGTTTTATTTTTTAAAAGGAGAAGTTTTTGAGGATGATTGGACTTTTAATTTATGTTTCATTCAGTCTTTGCAGCGAGATTGCAAATGAAACATGTGGACAGCAGCACTGATTCAGAGAGCAGCCCTCGTAGACGAGGTCGCAGCTACAAACTTCCGGATCTTTACTACGAAGAACAATGGATCGAGAAAAGAACTCGGCGAAGGGGGAACTTGCGGAAATTAGTTCGACAGGATAGTCGGAGCTTCAGTGAGGAGGAAGTTAGATTGTCAAAAACGTCCTCGAAAGATCAAAGGAGAGCCCGCAGTGAATCGGCACGGTAAATAAGTTTCCTAAAATGTCTCCTGAAAACTTAATATTAACAGCTGTAATTGATTAATGAATTTTTACCTTCCTCTCTTGATATCGCAGTAGAGTACATAATATTGTTTATATAGATTATAATAAGAAAGATTTTAACTTTTATCAATTTAACGTGAAAAAAAAAGTTTATCTCGTAATAAATATAACACAACATCGCACAGAGCTTAGAAATAAACTTTACACAATTAATAAATCTAAACATAAATAGTCGAATAAACTAACAAATTTCAATTTCATGTACAATCATCCCAATGTTCCAGATACGACGAAGATGATACAGATCAAAAACTAAGAAGAAGAAGAAGAAGTAAAAAGCGGTCAGCCAAATCGAAGCCTGACTCCAGCGAGCCTTCGATAGACTCTGATAGTGGAGACCTGTCTAAACGAAAACCGGAAAAGCGAAAGGAAGGTGGCAAGACGGATAAAAGCAACGGAACGGAAAACAAGGAGGAATCCAAGAAAGAAGACGAAGATGACGAAAGTGTAAGCGACGATAGTCTAGAGGTAGTCGTGGTGAAACGATCTCTAGAAAAAAAATGTGAAAAGGTTGTGTCCGGAAGGAGATCAAGGACGCCCAGGGAAAGTTCGAAAGAAACAAAGTTCACCAAAACACAGAAAAGCACTAGGAGAAAATTAAATTCCAGTAAATCGAAAACGTCGAACAATGGTGACAGTACGGCGGATCGAATGCAATCATCCGATAAAGGTTTCAAGGAGTCGGAATTTCGGGAACGAGATACACCGAGAACTTCTGTAGACGAGGACAAAGAAAACCGAGAAAAAATAATCGAAAGTCGATACCGCAGGGATATCACTGATAGCACGAGCCAAGAAACCGTGGAGCGTGTTGTAGTAACAGCCATGGTTCATAAGGATCAGACTCCAGATACACCGAAATCCATGCAGGAAACATCAAAGGAAGTTACTTTTAACGATAGGCTGAGAACGGAAATAATAGAGTCTGAGGAACTATCCAGAGATGCTGTTTCTAGTGCGAAAGTGGACGACATCGTCGAGCATACCACTGAATCAGGTAGCAATCTCGTGACAAAGGCAGCTAGTTTGAAGAAAGATGTGGAAGGAATGAGGCAGCAGATCACGCAGGAGAAGACACAACGTAAAAGTGGCAGGAAGAAGAGCGAAGAAGGAGAAGAGGAAGGACAATATAGAAAAGACAGGAAGGAAAGTATAAGTGGAAAGATTGAAAAAGGTGATGGAACTAAAGAAGATTCAAGAACAGATGCAAACGAACAGGATAAATCATCTGTCGAGGAAGAAGGAAAAAACAAAGAGTTGGATGTAGATGAGATAGGTAAGACTTTAAACAGAATCTTTTAAAATTTAAGAATAAGTGTCATTCTATTAAAATAACTTTTTGCAAAATAACTTTGTCAAATAATTGTTTAGTATTCTTTAATGGTTCGTAATCTATAATACTTTAAGGAATTTCTCTGTAAACTTTCTGTAGAGTCCTTTTTCTAGGCAGGTTAGACGTGCACACGACAACCGAGACGGAAAGTCCTACGCTGGATTCGCAGAAGGATTACCGACGCCTGGAAACCGGACAAGAAGATGATCTCACGTCTAAATCGGGAGGAACGACGCCCAAAACCGCGGATGAAAAGACAGACGTATCCGAGCACACTTCCAAAGATGAACTAGATGAATCCGAGCAGGCTAGCAGATCCGAAAGTCTAACGAGGGATTCCCAGAGGGAAGATTCTACGCCGCGAACGGCTGTACAAGACATTCCACCGTCAGAGGAGGAAGAAAAGAAATCGACATCCGAGAAACCAGAAAACAAACCAAAAAGTAGGAAAGGCAGCATCAAAAGGAAACCCTCAATCGATGAAAAGAAAGTTAAATCATCGTCGAGGCAGTCGAATGGAAGCGCGAGTCCTCAAAAGAGCAGTCGTAAGAGAAGAGAATTTAGCAAAAAACGGGAATCTTTCACGAAAAAGGTATCCACGAAATCATCTTCGGAGAAAACGAGTCAAGATACCGCAGAGGAAGCCATGCAAGTACAGAAAATGGAGACAGGCGTTGTTGGAAGTCCAGTGAAGGAAACGCAAGATCTTTTGATGGAAAGTTCAAGGAAGGAATCACCGGACGACAAGGAGCAAGCAGATTCCGCGCGCAGGAAGTCGGTAGATCTTTCATCGGCTTCGAGAGATTCCGCGCTAATGGAGGAAGCGGATGACCGGTCTTTAAGCGTTGATACTCCGGTTGCTACGAAAAGGAAGCTGTCTGGTGAAGAGGAAGCAGCTGAGGTGTTATCGCCGGCAAAATCTAATTTGGAAGATCAAGTGATAGAGACTGAAGATGTTAAGAAGAGCAAAAAGCGGTCTATCGAGGATGCGTTAACCACAGGTGAGGAGCCAAGTATTATTTAGTTTATTGCTAAATATATTGAGAATTCGTTATGAAATTTGCTAATTTGCTATGAAAATAACATTAATACCACATAATGTGGCCCTTCATACCAAATAACTTTTGTAAAAACATTTTCTTTCTAACTTCAATTTATCAAGTATTCAATACTGTACAAGATATTCCACCGTAAACATTTAAACGGCACACCCTATATAATATTTATTACAATTAAGAGCAATTAATACATAAAGTAGTTGTATGTGTCGTATGATTACGACGTATAAATTTTATACACGCATCGCATCTTATACTATATACAATTAGGTTAAAATGATCCTGCATCCGCTGTACGAGGATTAAAGTTTAATTGTTAAAACACGAAATTGGATATCTTATAAGCTGAAATTCTAGTTAAAAACATTTGTCTGTCACCGTTTATCAATGTTACCAATATGTTTGAATAACTCATTGGGTTTTATGCGTGTATTTTGTTTTAATCCGTATCCAGTTTTTAATGTTACATATTACATTTTTGTGTTTTTAAATACTATCTACATGTTAATATGTAAAAATACACTTTTCTCAGAAAAGGACAGCTTTCGGTACATAGACGAAAGCTCCTCGAGTTCTCCAAAATCAGCGCAAATAAGACGATCAAGACCTTCAACGGGAAAAGCTAGAACCACTGGGACGTCATCTTCGAGAGCGTCAGCAAAGAAGAGTCTGTTCGAAAGCTCGGAGGAACGGTCCCCTGATAGAAGTGCCATAGTCGCGGTTATTGAAAGTCCAGAGTGGGACGACGAGGATGAAGAAATTGCAAAGGAACTCCGAGACGTGATCGGAGAGGACGATGAGCATGAGACGGAGCTTGAAGAGGATAATGAAATCGGAGTGGTGAGGGTTCTACCCAGTACGAGTGAGGAAGAGACATCTCGGAGAGCTCCTGATGCCAGAACGGATACTGACACTTTACCACAAGTAAGGATCAATTAAAAATTTAATAGAATCTGCCATCATAATAATTATTTTATGACAATTAAATGTTTTATTACTGAAAGTATGTAATTAGTAGCCAATTCTCGCTAAAATTACATTTTATATATTTTCTCTTGAATAGATTATAAGTATATTAATAATGACAATAAATTACGATAAAAATAATGTATATTTTCTCTTTATTATTTGACGAATTTCGGACATGTAGTCGCGTTAATGTATAATTAATGTGCATTAGTTTTGTAAGCATTTCATTCTGTTGAACAATATAAACATTTGTATACTCTTTACACTTTATTTAAAGAGATAGGCACATAAATGATAAAAAAAATTAAACTGTTCCTGGTTAATGTGTTTCTTTAAGTAGTCAATCTCTATATTATAATGATCTCAAAGAGATTATCTTTCGTATTTAATTAGGTGCAACCCAGTACTCATACACGAGTGACCAGAATACGAAGTCCACAAGAAAGTAGGACGAGTCGTCTGCAAGGGAAGCAACGTCGAGACAGCGGTGGTAGAGACAGTGGTATCGAGCCTAGTCCAAGGGTGTCCAGGATACCAAGAAGAAGAATCATGAAATGTTGTCCTAATACCGAGAAGCAACAAGCTTTGAACATGGAGACTATAACGAGAGATGTACAGATCAGTCTACGACGTTATCATTTGGAAAGAAAAATTTTTTTCCAATTAATGGAACTGAAGAGATTGCAAATACGACATGGCAGAGCAAACGAACATGTTCTAGTTAAAAGACAAGTAATTATCTTTCAGTTGCTTGTTGGAAATTTCATTCATTACTTTTAAAAGTTTATAAATGCTGTATACGATCTAGCGGATACTAAGATCCGAATGATCGAGAAAAAGGTTTTTAAATAATATATTATTATAAAACCAAACTTATCGATAAATTTTGAATGTACCATTTTTTAATACCCTACGTTTAATATATTAATTTCCCTGTTTTGTAGGTTGATGCCTTCCATAAAGCAGGAATGTCTGGACCTACCCTCGGTGTGGCAAAATACGACCAACCCTTAACATTCAGGTTAGTTTGTTTAATGTAAAATCATTCATAACTAACATAATTACTGAGTAACAAAATTTTAGTATAGTACATATTTCGGTGTATACTATAATACTCATTATACAAACAATATATAGTCGAACAATAATTAATAACGATTTACAATATCAAAATAGTTTTCCTTTTCGTATATTCTTAAAATATATATAAAAAATGTACACTTTAAAACTTGCTATAGTATTACTTAATATTTTCATATAGTATAAATGAAATATAATAAAAATATAATAAAAATTTATTACCAGACACTTCGAGACCTTTCTGTATGACCAACTGAGGAAACTTCAGAGAAGACCAGCTACCCCAGACTTCTGTACCGAAGCGAAACAGTGCACTCAGAAAACTCATCGATGTCATCACGCAACAAGCGCTTACACTTCTTTCCCTGTATATACATATCGTACGTTACTGCAGTATATTATAGAATAAATAAATTTCAGAATTCTATTTCCCATATTATTTAATTTGTTTGTAAATCTTCATTTGGCTTCTTTGCATAAAATTAAAAGTTTCGACGATTTCTTCTAAGTATCACTTAAAAATTTAACAATATGGAAATGGAATGCTGAATAGGGAAATTCAATGAAGACAATTTGGAGAAGGAATCAGTTACCCTATTGTGATTGTAGATTATAATTGCAGTAGGTGGAGGCGCCCAAGAACCAGCAGATCTTCTTCCGAAGATAGAGAGTCGAGGAAAGGGACAAATGACGGTAACCTTCGATAATTTAGTAACGAAACTTAAAAGTTTCATAAATAATATTTTTACAAAATAACTTATAACATACTTCTCAGATAAATGAAATGTAATATAAAATATAGAAAGAATTTGATAACAGTACAGGAGATTGTTCTAAACAAATCAATTTTATTTATATATTTTTTTATATGATTTTAATATAAGTACAAATGATTAATACTCTAAAATGGTGAATAATAGAATTGACATAAATTCAAATGATGATATTACAGAAGATATAGCTTGTCCTATATGAATAAATTTTATTTCCTTATTTTCTATTTAGAAATGTAATATGATTACCAAACGTTACGAATTACACAAGCTACATTTTTATTATAATTTCTTATATAAACAATACAGATTTACTTGTATATGATATTTCTGTGCTATTGCATTAATGCGGCCAAAGTTACTATCAAAACTATCGAACGTCTTGAATAATGAATATTTTTGTCTTCATTAATAACTTTCTTGTCAAAATACGAAAACATTAATGTTGTTGTCTTTCGCAGGTGGAAGTAACGCACGGAGAAGAAAAGCAAATAATAGCTCTTCCAGCTGAAAGACTGGACCGTACAAAGAAATATTATGTAACGTTCACCGTGAAAGGGGAAGCACACGATACGGAAAAGCCTAAATCGTCGACCGGTATCCAGAGAAATGCCAAAAGCGTTTAAGAAGTTTTCGACATCCGTGCCTTCTTACTTTTCAACTTATAAAGCTGAACATGTTGACTGCCATAGTGGTTCCGTTGACGCCACTGTATCACTAATAACTACTAGACTGCAAATATTTATGCAAATATTAATTTTTATAGTCTAATTTACAAAAACTGGAATCAAATAGGAATTAGTCTGTCTCATTAAATATTCTATTACCTGCTGAATGAAATGAAAAACAGCATTGAATTTTGGTAAGTGTTATACAATATCAAATTTTAAACAATCGGGGACACTATAAATACAGAAAAGCTGCAGTCTGTTAATAATTAACTTTATCCAATTTTTCCAAACGGTTATCAGTGAAATCGAATAAAACATTTGAGAGAATATAAATCAATCAATAGTATAAAACAGTTTATATAATTTTATAATTAATCATTTTTGTTTTTATTAGATAGGATAAGTCGAATTTAAAACAGTCTTTTTTTAATATGATTATATGTATCAGTTTTTGATATTTTGAACAATGTTTTTACTTAGAATTTGTAAAAGTTTATTTTTACTATTGAATACGAAGTCAATATGAATACTTTCATATCATATCAATCTTATTAAGGCGTACGGGATAAGAAATATAAAATTCACTAGGCAGACAACTTGTTTATGTACAACGTACAAAATACGTTTCTATACTTTTCTACATAATTTCCAATTATTTTCGCAACATAATACTGATGCATTTTTACCGCCATTACAATTATACAATATGTCGAATTGAGCGACGTCGGTCCTTTTTTCGAGTTTATAATTTAAATACATAACTGTATATTATTTCTTGTTGTACAAGGAAATACGTTTACGCAAGCGAAAAAAGAAAAACTGCCAGAGAAAAGTTCGTGTATAAATTTAAATTAAGCGTCGAATCGAATGTTCTGTGTAAATTTTATTAATGATGTAAAAAAATGTTAAATAGCATGAAACAATTGTGTTCTAATTTATTAGTGTAAATAATTTTATGCATTAGACTTGTATATCATTAAACTGCAAAGAATCAACGATAATATCTAATAATGAAACACAATTTCGTATAACGATAATTTATTTCGGTTCAATTACTAACACTTTTGCGACCGTTGACGCAATGCTTACGTGTATGTAAATTTAAAAATAGTACTCCGTGGCGTGTACTTGTGATTTCACGATATTAACGATTATGCGTGTATATAAATGAATAATATTATTTACTTTGCTATAGTAACGAAGTGTTCGAAATTCAAAAAATTTGTCCCTCTCTTGTTTTAAATATTTCTTGATTTTTTAATTACTTCGATTATAATTTTCAACTTTAATCAATGAATTATCGGTCGCAACAGTGTTAAGACGAACTTCAAATTGTTAAAACTTCAAGTTGACATTTGTCGACGTCTGTCGGAAAGACTTACTAGTTCAATATATTTGTAAAATATGAGACATTTCGTTCTTGCAAAAGCAGGGACCATGCAATAATTAACGCGCACATATTCTGTACATTTGTGTAAAGAAAGCCATTATATGCAACATGTATGTAATTCCATGTAAAATAAACTGCTACGACTTATGTATTGTCCACTTTCTTCTTTATCAATTTTTTTTAATAGTAATAAACTACACAAAATATGTACATTCATCAATTAATCATAAAAGTTCTTATCGCAAATAACTGTTTCCATTTATAGAAAGCTGCATGGCAAGTAACATGAATTTACGTAAAGAACATTTCATTAAGACTAAAACTGAAAAGTAAAATACTCTGCATTGATTATTCTAAAAAATGGGACATGATAAGTACTATCAATTTAGTACAGTGCAGATTTATACGTATTTAGAACAATATCATTCAGAAAAGCAGACTAAAATAAAAAGTGTAATAAACTTTTCTTTCTATGCTTACTATAATAAAATCTAAAAAATACAAACATAAGCAAAGCAAACTCATATTTAATTTCTTTTCTTGCATACCATTCAATAAGAACTTGACATTGTACAAACATTTACAGTTACGAGATTCGAAAGAAGCAAACAATCTTTCTTATTTAAGCTATAAATGTAAATTATATCTAGTTCTTCAAAATATTAAACACATAACAAAATTATTCTCAAACAGAGATTTAATCAATGAATATCGGAGCATTTCCATTCCTTCCTTTAAAGAAAAGTGGTATGTGCAACATAATAAAATTTCTTATAGTAGTCTTTTTACAATTTAAATGATAAATAAAAAAGAAATTTCGTTGAAACTGCATAAAAAGTATTATCAGCCATATGTACTGTACATCACTGTCGAGTAGGTTATAAACATGGCCGAATATGATTTAATTCTCCGTTTCATCAGACGTCTGATGTTGTCAATGTCAAAACGGAAAATGTTTATGCATTCGTCGAAATGTTACAAATGTCTTGACGAATATAGTAATCCTCGACTGGCAGAGCAACTACTAGAATTATCGATCAGCTCCGTGACGTTGTTAAACAAATAGCTCAGAACGTCTAATCGTTTCGATTCACTGGTGAAACGTGGGTGCTCTTAGCAATGACTACCATAGTCTGGTCTGTCAATAATGTTGTTCGGTCAGACGCGATCTACGAGAGTTAGAGTGAAGTTCTTAACTATGCATCTTGCACATACCGTTCGGAAAACAAGATTCCTGTGAGAAACCTTCGCATGGACAAATGGCTCCAAGATAGAAAGCTCTGGCTCTTCGGTAGCACGCTACCCCTGCTACCAAGGTAAACAGCGACAGCTTTTGCCAAATATCAGCGCCCAACACAAATATATATTTCGAACTTTTATTTAAACAAAAAATGATAAAATCAGTCTAAAAGAATGTTGTCAACCTGTAGGAACTTGGGATTCTTTAAAATACTTTAGAGTAGTTTAAAAATTTATAATTTATATAGTTACGTTTATATAGGTAGGTGTAACTGGAAAAAGAATGTTTATTTTATTCACACTTTATTATGTATAGGGTGTGTATTGTAATAATAGAAATTTCATAGTAGACACCGTGCAATACAGAACAAAGTTTAAAGGTTGAAAAGTATGTCACTATCACGTTTAACCTTGAACTTCGAAAATTAGTTATTTCTTAAAGCTGTATTGTTTATGATAAAGCTCGATTTTTCATCCCAGTTAATTTAAAGAATATTATATTTGTAAAAATAAGCTTAAAAGTTTCTATTTGCGTGAAAGCTAACCTCGTAGCATTAATGTTAAAGAAACTCACGAACTCGAGTTTTATTTTGTATTGAATTTAGTATGATATTGATATAATATAAAACTGATATTCTTAAAGAGTAATTTATATAGAGCGATAATAAACAGACATTTCTTTTCTTTATTAAAAATATTATTGAATGGAAAATTATTTAAAAGCAGATTGCATTTAAATTGTAATCATATAATTTTATTTATATTTATAAACGCATCATATTCACAGTGCATTTATTAATCTTCCCTTACATAATCCGGAAGATGTTTCTTTAATTCTTAATAAATTGTTTATTTATTTTATCATAACCTTACTTGTTTTTGTTCAAGTGTTTCTGAAGTCCAGAAAAAAAACATACAAATCTAACAACATAAAACGTAATGAAGTATCAATGAAACTAGAATTTAGAATATAATTCTTTACAGAATACATGACTTTGACATTGAATTGAATTGATCGATATTTACTACATAGTATCATCACGCAAAGAGTACCGTATACATTAAACGTCATTAGTTACCATCAGCTCACGTTAATGAATTCATTAATAACGAGAATTTCTCATTATTTCTCATTGTTCTCACAAATAAAAATTTCTCACTGTGCATTTCAATAAAATAAATTTTTACATTAACAAAAATAATGTATGCTTTTCTTTCTACGTGAATATACATGCTCTCACGTCGATCAATTTTTCTGATGTATCAGTCAAGATAAGGTGATCGAAGAATGAATTAGTTACGAGTTATGCCTACACTATATATCTAACAACTGCATTCTCAGAATTGGTCCAATAGTCTAATTTTGGGACGTTTTCAATACAAATCGATAGATATACAGCTTCTTTGACGAATCTAAATATTTTTATGATTCTTAAAATCTGCTTTTATGAAACACTGCATTAGTTGTCCATATTTATACATAATTGAGAAATATAGGTTTCACTTTCTCCTTTATGTACTTTTGGGGTAAGAATGCACCCTCTACATTTTATTCGATCAATTGTATATAGAAAGAATTTGATAACAGTGCGATTAATTAGTTATTTATTTTTAATGAAAAGTAGAAACATTTGTAGCTGCTTGATTAATTTATTCAACAAAGATACTCTGTTTTTCATAAGTTAAAAACTATTAGTAAAAATCAAGAAAATGATTTCGATTTTCATCTACAATGAATCGGTGAAGCATTTAGATAGTATAATTTGGAGAGTTCGCTAAACTCAGCCGGAAGTTACATAAGTCTTGTATGTCTTCCGCTGTCACGTATGTATGATGCCAAAAATATTGTAACCCCGTTCACGGTCATCGCTTTAACATAGACGGTGTACTGGCGCGATATCGATTGTCAATAATCAAGTGTACATTTGCAAAGTAGTATTTCAGCACGTTTAGTAACGTTCGGTATGTTCAACGACAAGGGTCCTTCCGTAACCAAAGACAATGAACACCATAATCGGATTTTTGTACGTATATATTTTCGAGTACAACACTTAACTCGTACATTCGTCATATGGAGCAAAGTAATTTTGTTTAACTATGACACACGGACTGTATTAAGAACAGATAAGTCTGAAGTAGTGGAAGATGTCAAACGATGATTAGATAGGGGAGAAGTAAATTTTTCATGTTCTTTTCCCCTTTTTTTAATCTTTTCTTTTTTAACTTTTAAAGGTGCTTAACACTTGCGGACACGTCGATAAAAACAAAAATAGAATTAAAATTTACATCATGTATTGTGTGTCACTGCATTAGTGTTGCATTAGGAAGTTTTAAACTCTGACGAGGTATTTCCACCCAGAAACATGAGTAACAGATCGATTTTATGACTTTTTTCAGTAGGAAAAAACGTCGCACAAGCTGGCTACCTTTGTGATACATTTTGTGATGTAAGAATATGCTTTCCCGAAATTTTTGTTGCAATAAATGAAAACTGTTCGAGGAATGTTGACTTGAGTCAGATAAAATCTTTCATGTTCGGAGATAACCTCGTCGCTTTTTGTGCTTATTCGAAAAATTACTGAGTGTCCTTATCATCAAGATAAATTTTTTATTAGATTAACCAAATAATGAGTCTCTTAGTTACCATTTAGAAAGTAGAGGCATTATTTTGAAGATATCAACAGTTGAAAAATAAAAGTTCGCTTAGAGACCTATCAGTACTAGGCTGTTGGGTTCTTGAAATTCTGGCAGCGATCCAGCCTCAACGATCCTGCATTTTCCTTCCATGGCTTCCGGATACCACAGTTTAGAGTTTAAACTTATTTTAAACTGCCAATACTCGTTGACTACCTCGATTTAATTGAGTAACTAAACACAGTATTTTTGAATATAATAGTTCGTGTCTAATGAAACGAAAAGTGTATCATATTCATTATATATTTACAGTAGACACTCTTTTTAAGTCTATTAATTAATAAAATTATTATTCCCTTCCACTTTGAATTACAATCAACATAACCAATTTAATTTTACATGTTTAGAATTACTATGAATATAATAATTACAATAATCCTAAAATACAAATGGTGGTCGTCATTGCTTTTAAGATGAAACTCCCTTAAAAATCTGAATCGGCTAATATTAGTCAACTAATATAGTGTATTAGTTTATTATTAGTAAAATGATTTTTTGTAATATTCATTTTACAATAGTACGAATTATATCTACTTTCCAATTATCATGGAAAGATGTTATGACATATGAACTAAAGTTTTAATAATGTAGAGAAAAGTCGATTCAGGTAACATACTCTAGAACCTAATTCTAAGGTATCTGGAGCGCTAAATCAATTCCATTACTTTTCACTCGTCTATAACACGCGAATCCTCTAATGCCAATAACAGCAGTGGTATTCACTTCATTACTTCTAAAGTAGTCTACGATATGATACCTGTGACTAAATGTCATTGTGCGTCACGAAAGACCAATGAAATGAAAGCAACCTTTCTTAGGACGAATAACATGATTCGTAATCATTCGATCCAATTATTTGGAATTTCTTCTTTTTCTTCTCATTTATAATATGAAATATAAACATTCGTAATTTAATAATCTTTAATTGTAATGAATGTATTTTTCATAACCTTGTCCGTGAAATTAGCTGATAATGCAACGAATTGTAACCACAGAATCGACGAACCATTTTCAATTAACATCGTTAACCTTCTTATGGCAACGATGCATTTTTTGCCGATTTAAACTTGAAGTCATCGCGTTAATTTAAATTGACCACATTATTAATTTGTCACACTTAAGTCCATCAGAAAATTTCAAAAGTGTCGAGTATGGTGGATCATTTATGTTTCGTTCGACATGGTCAACGACTTAAAATTCGCAAATTACCGCCAGCGCGTGCCACTTTGGTAAGTTGATCAGTGGATTGTCGAAGTAAATTTAGATTTCTATAGAATACGGAATCCTGTCGAAATTAATTAATGGGTTACAGGTAAAATAAAGCTTTCATACACTTTCATTGAAATTTCTACTTCATACTGATTTGCATTTGAACGTATTTTAAGCGCACAAATGTTCACGGTCTATTCACCATTTTGTAGAACTATCAATTTTTTTAATTAACGACCTGAAAATTATATACACTTGTAGCATCCTCGATACGCTACAACTGATTACAGAGAAAGTATAATCTCATTTTGTTCCAATGCTAATAGACTCCTCAATACATTGAAAAAAATTTTGTTTGATTACAGTTTCTGTAAACCATTTAAATAGACATTATCAAAGATTGAATTTTGAACACTGTAATTTATATGTTTATAATTGGAACATCAATTTTAATTATATAACATTATTTAGTGCCTAATAATTGTAGGGAAGACGAAGTATATTACAAATGTGTTGTACACTTATTAAATTAATATAGCAATGAATGTTAATCAGAAAACTGTTGGAAAGAAATCTGTTTGAACGATTTATGTGTATAATTCTTCACGTGAACGAAATCTATCTTTAAATGTGGGGCGAGTGACATCAAATTTCTATAAAGGTGGACAACATTACGCGGTCCAAGAGCGCCTGCGCTAGGCTCCGATTCAAATAAAGCGAAAGCCACAAGGGAGGTTGACCCTTGGTCATCGGCGAAGGTACAAACAGTTTGGTCTGCAGACTTTACCGTGATAGCATGCTCTTTACGCAGCAGTTCACATCTCTGCCATGCCTCGCCAAGTATAAAAAGTGGGTAGAAGCCCAAATTTTTTACTTTGATTTTCGGTAACAGAGTACCTTTACACAGGTCATTAGTTAAAAATTACAGGAACTTCAACTATTATCTTCAATTGACTATTTAGTTGGTGAAAATGAAATATTGTACTGTGTAGCCCAAATTTTATAATCTAGACGCTTGATTTGTGGGAAAATAATATCAATTCTCTCGGTGTTATACACGTTTATCTTAGTTGTAAAAGCATTCTAAGTTTGTGGAAATTATTCAGACTTGTGATATAGTATGTATTATACGCGTATATGTTTACACAGAGATCGGTGGGTCTTTCTGGACACAAAAAGAAATATTATCGTAAGGAACGTCTAAAGTGTTCTCTTTTTATTTTTAATGAGAAATAATTTTATTTAAATGATTTAAAAAAAAGCTATGGTTTGTTCAGTTGCAGTGTATCTTAAACAATAAACGGTGATGACTGGGTTTGTTTTACTCTAAACTTGTATAAATTTTATTGAATTTTTGTAGACGACTGTCTAAACAGATACTCTTATATAGGTTGTCTCGTGGTCGATGGTACAAATCGACAGGTGGTGGTTCTACATGTACAAATAAGTAAAAAATGTTTCGTTCCTGCGAAAAATGAGTGTGAATTTCAGAGATTTTTAACAATAACTTACAAGATACAATATCGTTACCGATGAAGAACAAATTTGATTAGTCAAATTAGAATTATCACTAAAAAAAACTTCATAGATCTCTATTGCTACAGAGTTTGGGTTCCATATCTATTGGATGTATATTACATAGAATTAATCAAAGAATATACTATATTTTTAATATCTACATTTTTATTGACAGAATTAATCAAAGAATATACTAATTTGAAGACACATAATTGTAATATAAATTTATTCGTTAAAATTTCTAGATCTAAATTTATGTAAAAGTTTAATATAAAGTTCTATCTGAATTTAAACGAACATTAACTGTTTAGTAAGCATACGTACTTTTACTAGCAAAGTTTATTTATCAATAAATGTTATTAATAATTTATATAAATCTAGTACTTTGAAACTATTCTCTACGGTACCGCTCAAAAGGTAAATTCTTTTCTCATCATTATTATTATCCATTTTGTCCATCCTGTGTTAAAGAGAAAAGACTAATTATAATAAACGGGCATGTACATAAGTAGTTGAACTTCTGAAATATGGAAATTACGAAAAATTAAAAAGTATATTTAAGTTTATATTTATATTTCGTATTTTGAAATACTATATTTTTTCAAATTGATATCACACACATTGTCACGCAAACATTTATATTTCCATTTATTTTATGTTTATTATAGTATATATATAGAAAAATTAATTATATATTTTTATCAATATTTATATAAATAATTGTTGTTTCTTCAGTTGCACCATAACTTCAACCAAACGTATTTGAAATAAATTTATCGCCCGTTTTTATCCATACTACTAATCAAAATAATCCTTTATATTTGATCGGATGTGTGATGCAACGAACGTGATCCATGAATCGCGGTGGTCATTGCATTTCAATGGGAACACGCGTACATTCACATGTCATAATGCATTAGATAACATGCTTGTTGGATTCATAACTGTGGCATGTCATAGATTAATATAGAGTTTGCTCGTTACGTTGTCAAAAAGTTTCTTCTGAATTGCCAATAAATAATAATTTTATTGGAAAGAATCATTTTTATGAAACATGATAGAAAAATAGGAAAGATATTCTAATGTTACAATCCTATTTTCATCCTATTATGTCAAAGAATAATTTAACATCGCATTGTATACTATAAACAATAATAAATAATGAATAATAATACATTGAAGAAACATCTTTTCAGTCGAATGGTGTATCTATTAAAACGAAAGTAAAGCAAAAACTGCAGTAGCCATTATTAAAATTAATTTCTTGTTGGATTCTACATATCGACGTATGTCGTATTCAAATCAAACATGCATAAAATGTGCAATCTATTGATAACATTTTTATTGTACCACATAAAGTCACGAAAAGTTTCGCTTTTGTGTAGGTCACGCGCGCCAAGCAAGGCGATGGAGCGGTACGAACGGCTGGCGCGGCTTGGGGAGGGTAGCTATGGTGTCGTCTTCCAGTGCAGAGATCGACAAACTGGAAAATTGGTGGCTGTAAAAAAATTTCAACAAACTGAGGATGACCCCCTTATACGAAAAATCGCACTACGTGAAATACGGCTACTTAAGGTAAGTTTTCGCGTATAAAACGGTATGAACAATAAGGATTGACTTTTTACAAATTAATGAAACGAACCGTTAAACTAATAATCACCATCACAATATAATAGTAATAGCGAATATAATAAAATATAAATTATTTTTTAATCATTCTTATTCTTTATAATTTGTGAAATTTTTATATAAACAACTAAAATGATTAAAAAACAGTACTCCGCTTACATAGTATATGTCACTGGTTCCTTCTACCATTGAATTATAAAGTGTCAAAATATAAATCACTAACTAAATTACTTAGAACTTTCACAAAGAGTATCAAACACAATAAACAATATTGTAATTCCAACTCCTATGAGTCTATACCTTAATATTAATATTAATTTCGTACTTAAATCGATACATTAGCAATCACGAGTACACTCGTAACAGGTCAACAATGTGCTAACTCAAGGCTGTATTCATTAGCACAATTGCTAAAATTCTAGTAACTTCTACGCATATCTTCTTTGCCCAAGGACTTTGTTACGACGGCTTATAAGGTTTTGTTACGGCAGTCAAAATTAAATTATCTTATGATCTGATTTGAACAATAGTTTATAACGTCGTGCTGGTGGGCACGCCATCATTCAATCTCAATCTGAGCAAACTTTCGATTCCAAATAGACTTATAATCGAAAGCGAACTTGAAACGAAACCTGGTGGACTACGCGTGGCGTGGGACTATCAGAAAATCTATGAAGGAAGTTTTCTGTCTCTAGTTCCTCCACTGGCCGACGCTAGACTCTCTGCGTCCACACTTCGGGTGAACGACCCCTCGCAAATTGAAAGTGTGAAACCTCGAGTAGCCAGCCACTGGATTTAGAAAATCGCAGCGAAAGAGGTGTGTTCTGCGACCGATCCGCGTTTCAGTCGATCGGCAACGCGATTCGGCGATCCTCCGGAGAGGAACGAAAGCGTCGAGCAAAAATTCATAATCTTACACGGCTGTGTAACCGTATAAATCCACGGTTGGCTACAAGAAGTGGCCAACGGTCAATACCGCGGCGGTCAATATCTTAGCGTGTTCTCCTCTTGCCGACCTAGCCTTATCGAAATAATCGGAGGGTTCGCTCCCAAACATATGCGCATTCAAACGAGCCTCCACTCTGCTCTGACATTTCGCCTCAAGGATATTTTCCCTTCTTGCACAAAATAAATTCGGACCGCGCGATGTTAATGATTTCCTTTCGCCACGGCTTTTGACTGTAACACGTGTCCGCAACAGCGGCAAACTTTGTTCCGATTTTTTCCATTTGGGTCACGGAATTTTTAGACTTCCCGGAACCCGTTCATCACTGATACTCGTTGACTACTCTAACTCCTGCTCTACCGCTCATATTATACTCGAGTAAATGTGATTTCTTGGGCATACTTAACTTGTAGCCCATTCCTGGTACTATATTTGTGACTCGAACGCAAAACGAGCCACGTGGTCATAATATTTTGACGCCTACCGCAATTCAAGCCTAGTACATTAGCTTTATACCTTTGTAAGAAGGGAACTTTTTCTTTTCAAAATACAAATTTGACAGTGTAAAGATTTTGAATGAGATATTTATCATGAATACGTGGGACATCTTAAGGTAGAACGCAAGTAACTTGTCGTGTTTAATTTGTGTGCATATATGTACACATTTAAGTATGACTGTACTGGAAGGATCGAAACGTTGATACTTTAATTTTTAACTGAAGAACAGATTCCATGTGTACATACACACATAATAGAATAGCTGATGCTTCGACTAGCACGTGGTTTCAAAGCTTTGAAACTGTTTTGTTTAGTATCTATATCGAAGATTCTTGCAAATACTATTCATCAAGGTACCACTTAAAAAACCAATGTGTTGTGTATTCTCCTTATACCACGGAGATGGATCCTCTGTAACTAGAAGTTCGATTAATAGATGTAATGAATCTGTTAACTTCAAATTTAGTTCAATATTTAAGAAAAAAATTCCTAGTGACCAAAATAATCAAATCTTCGCGTTTTAACCCTTTAACATTCATGTCCGTGACTCACAGAGGTAAGTAACGACACGGTTTCTTCATATGTTTGTTCTATGTTTCTTTGCTTTCTTAAATCATATTTACGTTCCATTGTGTTCAAATTATGAAATAAAATATTCAAATGAAAAAGAAAGAGATTCCTATTAAAAAAGAAAGGAGTCGATTATTTCCCATCTGTTCAACTAAAGTAGGCATGGGCATTAAAGGGTTAAAGCCATGATTTTATAGTACGTGTTGTATGTAAATACTATTCCTAATAGGATGTTGCGTCGCACTGCAGATTATTTTTAAAAAGTCGCTAACTAAAGGGACGCCATAATTTTCCTTTAGAGAGATCAATATTTCACTAGTGATCTTCACTTTTACAAGATCATCGCCTATAAATTCGTTCCTCATGGAAATTTCAACATTTGCAAACTATTTACAAATACTGGCATTATTTTCAAATGATTCTGCATCTAGTTAGCCGCCTTCCTTAACACATTATACGCTGGCTAAATTTCAGCTACTAAAAACGCGAAAGTCGGTGATTATATTGATATATTTTTAAACATCAATCAAACCGAAATTTGTAATTCACGAAAAAGAATAAAGAATTCGATTTTGTAATTTTACTTTGGATTTGTGTTATACATATTTAAAATGTTACATTTTTTAGAAATTTTAAGAACCTCAAATTGTTTACGCGTCGTTCATAACGCACTCGAAGTTTTAACATAAAATAATCGTAAATTATTTTCCACTTAAAGAAATACTTGGATATGGCGATTTAGTCGTAAAAATTTCTTATAAACTCTGTGCCGTACAATTTCCTTCACGACTATGCTCTTTAGATTTATTTTTAATTAATAGATATTATAACTAATACTTCGCGAGAACGCAACAAAATTTGTTGTTCATTAAAAGCCCACAGTTATTTTGAAGATAATACACCGATGATAAAAAAAATGATCTTTCGCTTCGACTGTAAAAAAATAATCTCCTTTGCAGAACTCTACACAATTAAACATAGAAGTACTCAGAAACTGCGAGTAGGGTAAATCTAGCTTTCCAAGTCTACCAGAAGCAAACCAAAGTGTAAAGACATAAAATTATATAAAATATTAAAATAAGTACATGAAAAAGAAAATTGTAATTATTCCTTTGCTAAATTTATGACTTGATTATTAAATATCTAAAAACACTCTAGATTCTCTAAAATGTGGTATCAATTATAACATGAGGGATTAATGTTAGATATGTCTATCTTGCAGAATCTTAAGCACCCCAATCTGGTAAATCTATTGGAAGTATTCAGAAGGAAAAGGAAGCTACATCTGGTTTTCGAATACTGCGAGTACACTTTGCTAAACGAGATGGAGAGATATCCCTGTGGTTGCCCAGAAATCACTACGAAGCAACTCACGTGGCAAATTCTACAAGGTGTCGCGTATTGCCATCGACTGGGTTGTGTCCATAGAGATGTAAAACCCGAGAACATTTTAATCACAGCGGATGGAGTAGTGAAATTGTGTGACTTCGGCTTCGCGCGAATGCTCAGTCCCGGTGAAAATTACACAGAGTACGTCGCAACTAGATGGTACAGAGCACCTGAATTACTGGTAATTTTTTGGATAATTAAAAAAGAGCTTAATTTTTTCTATTTTAAATTCTCATTACTAAACCCTTAAAAATTACATTTACATTATACAATCACGGTTTTAAGATATTTTATGTATGAAAACAGAAAATTTATATCAGAGAACCACATCCTTAGAAGATATACTTTGTGTATACAGTATACGTTCAATAACTATTATTTATCTCCAACTTCACTTTTCCATCTCTCTTATTTTAAGACAATTTAATTTTTAATTTTAAATGTTGACAAATGTATTAACATTTCACTAATGAAAATAAATATCTAAGGATTTAAAACAGTTTATAATAAATAAAAAACAATTACATACTTCTTCAGGTTGGCGATACTCAATATGGTACACCAGTAGATGTATGGGCAATTGGCTGTGTCTTTGCAGAATTAATACGTGGAGAAGCATTATGGCCAGGTAAATCAGATGTGGATCAACTATATCTAATTCGAAGAACTATTGGTGACTTATTACCAAGGCATGTGGCCATTTTCCAGCAGAATGAATTTTTTGCTGGTATTACATTACCAACACCTCAAACACTTACTCCCTTAGAAGATGCTTTACCTAATAGAGGAAATACTGCTTTACAGGTATAGATTTGTTCTCTTAACGATTTTTTCGAATATAAAAATCGAAAATTTTCATTTAATTTTATGCAATAGCTCGATTTTCTCAAAAAATGTTTGGACAAAGATCCTGATCAGAGGTGGACCTGTGAACAACTTTTACAGCATTCCTATTTCGAAAATTTTCATTTCAAAATGCCTGAAGCAGAAATGGAAGAATTTGAAAAACTCAAGAAATATAGGGATCGCTCAAGAGTAAGTATATTTATATGATTTCAAATGTATTGATTGACAAAAAGATTAGTAATAGATAAATTTAAAAATCCAGGTATAATGTAAATGACAAAATGTTACTGTAACATTGGTATTACATTTTAGAATAGTAATTGCAGTCAAATATTGCCACAACTTCCTAAGGCTGGTGCTTCAATACACAGCCAAAATGAAAGCAGACCGAGAAGCTCTTCTATGCATCATCGGCAAGATTTTGATCACCTACCTACTATTAAAGGTTGAAACTAAGGTCTTCTGTGATTATAAAGTACTTGTACAGGATGCCAGCAAAACTAAGAACACTAATTTGGGATCCAATAATTAACACAGCTCTGAGCAAATAATTCCAATATGCATATGTTTGTAAATGATGTTATACAGATATTGTTAAAAAGCTTCATATACCATAAACTCTTACATTTCGTTTTATTCTTATTTTTATTAAGATTTATGTTTGGTCAACATACAGAAGTAGAATTTCATTTACCATATAACTATGTAGGAGAAGAATTAATTGTATGATAGATATATTATGATAAGAAAACAAAATGAGAAAAATAATAAATAGGGAAAGACAATAGAAGATTAACATATCATAATAATGTTTTGATTTAGTCATACCAAATTATTTTCGTGTAGCAAAGTATACTTTTCAAAGTATGTTTGACAGATTTGAACTTTGTTTGGTCTCAATAATAAACAAACAATGGAGCATGAAGCACTTTAACAATATTTATTAGGGAAAAATATGCAAATGTATTCTTATTTGATCTGATTTATTCTATCAGACCCTGATCTAAGGTCTTTATTTTTTAATGCATCCTGTGTTCTCTTTTTCTCTCTTGTGCCTTATATATAGACATACATATGTACATACCATTTATTTATTTAAACTTTACAAATATTTTTTGTAAATGAATCATTCTTAATACCTTTTATTTGTATTTGCACATTTATCTTTGAATTACTGATGATTTTATTTTATTAACCTGATTTCCATGTTATATATATATATATATATTTATTTATTATTGTATGTACATTATATGTACATGTTAGAATAAAATTTTGTATAAAATACTTGTATTTATATCTAATTTACTTGTAAAGAGGAATTATAAAGAATAAACTCCTTTTTTGAAAGATAAGTAAATAAAAGGTGCTAAAAACGACATTAATATAATAAATATTCAAATTTACTACTATCCCAATACTGTATTGCTTATGCTATAATTTATAAATACAAACATATACCACATATGTATCTATATTTATTTTTTTACAAACAAATTTATATTGTACATAGTGTTAAAAAAGTTTAATGTACTTTAATTGCCATTATAAAGCTCTATTCCTTTTTTTTATTGAAAAAATGTTGATACGCCTGTACCAGAATGTGCTCATGTCTCTCTTCTTCTGGTACGTAAGTATGTTGTAATTTGTACCAGCCCACATGAGCTCCAACTAAAATAACTAACACTGTACCAGTTTCAAACGAAATTTTGGCCATTTAAATTTTTTACCTTACAAATGTACTTCAATATGAAGGCACTCACTGTTTGATTTATCAAATGAGTTTTAGGTTAACTTGGTTAACAGATCCTTCTATATAAAAAATAATACGGAAAATTAGTTTCCCACAGTACGTGATAGGTATTAATAAACTTGTATATATAATATTATTTGACCTTACAGACATAATTCATTATTAGTGTACGATTACGTTAATAAAACCATATAAACATGAGCATTTATTTAAAAATTAATTGTAAATTACGTTCGAAACCACAGATAAGGTAGGTATACCAGAGATGACTACGTACTCCCCTCACGTTAGTAACTTGGAAACAGCATTTCTCCCACTACCTGTAGTCAAGGAGCTGCCCGAGGCTGGTATGTAAGTATTTCTATATAGTATTCAATACAGGCAAATGTTGTTACGGAAAGGGTAACTTTTCTTGAGGGGAGTGTCACTAGATTGCCTGCGGACTGAAAACACCTCTGCCTTTGAAATATGTACTTAAAGGACTACCATCGATGAGAGACAGGATAGACTGGGCATATCCAATATAAATTTTTGTCACACTGTCGGGGGATTACGTAACCATTTTACCATTCCAAAATCACTTACAACCTTACCAATAGAGTGCAAATAAATTGTTGCGTTACGCCGTTCGCGGTTAGGGAAAATTTAGGGAACTTTACGTGGGTAAGGTGCCCGTGGAGTACTAAGGTACTCTGCTCGTGGCGCGTGAAATAAAACTTATACTTTTGGTTGTGGAAATTTTGACTTCTGCTTTATTTGTGAGTTTATAAGTAGTTAAACGTTCGAGGTTTGAAATCATTCTGCTTTTTCGTTGTAAATCTCGCTCGTTGTCGGCTCGCATCGCCTCTTCCCTGGTCCTGTTTTCTCCTTCCGAGTCTCCTTGGGCCAATGGTAGAGATCTGGTTAATGCGCGGGAACGATTCCATGCGCATATGCTGAGAGAAAGCGCGGGACCCAGAGAAACACACAATGTTCTCGTAAAAGCGAACGCGTCGACAGGTAACAATGTACCGAATTCACCGAAGTGAGGACCGGATGTAACACGTGACAACCTTTTGAAGAGAATTTATGGTCCCTTACAATGTATCGAATTTGCCGAAGTGAGGATCAAAGATGATTCTAGCTGAAAATAACAATTCTCTGGTTTCCAACTTCCTCTCAGCTCGGCCGTCCGCGTTGAGTGTTTTACAATAATATACTGTGTCTATAATGTTCTCGCTAAACCGTTCGTAGTTCCCTCTCAATTTATAAGCTTCGACCACGGAACGCAGCTATAGCTATCTTTGCCCGGCGTTACCGTCGTACCGTGCCTATCCAATTCACGCGATAGCGTTACAAAGTAAATAAATAAAAAACATGTTCTTTTTTATTTTCCTGTCGCAATATCAAATTTTTCTATATACTCGAAATTTCTTATTGGGATTTATCAAAATATTAAGTATAATTCACAAGTTCAAAATTCAATACAATATTAACACCAACGGCACAGATGAAGTTATACCTTGTCTGTATTGGAAGTATTAGATATTAATTAATCGTAGAGGGCATATCAAAACGTCTGCTCTTTTTACACAATCGGTATTTCAGTCTTATAAAATAGATGTCTAGCACAGATTTAAGATACCGCTAGATGACGCCACCCTTCGCTCTGTCCTTATCGTGCAACGAAGATCACATAAATCTATCCTTGTCGTACAGCTCTTTACTCATCATACTTCGCGCGTATGTACCAGGAATTTAGGAATCAATTAGAAAAGTTGGTAACAATTGCTCCCTCTTGGTCTTATAGATTATAAGGGTTGGGAGAACGCTAGATTTAACCCCCACAGAATTATCACGTTAACAGTCGGTGTCATACGCATGTGAAGCCCCTGTCTACATGCATCCGGCATCACGCGGATGTGACTTTGCTCTATTAAATTGTAATTTGTCAATACCTTGTAAATATTTCTTTATAGATTACAAAATTATATTATAATACAGCGACATTTAGTAGGTGATAATCGATTCTAACAATTAGTGGTAGGAATTCTTTCTGTTCTGTCCTTCGTAATTTATTCATTTTAATAAATTTCAATCTCTACGCGTAACCTACTGTTTAGGGGCTGACAGTTAGTAATCTTAACAATGAAGTTTGATTTTGATAATATATATATAATTATACGTCTATTCGAGTGTAATTAAAATAATAAGTAACTCGGTAAAAGTGCTCTTTACTTTCGGACAATTTACCAACTTTCAGTTATCTGATGAAATGCAATTATAAAATTTACCACTTTAAATCGTATCTTAAAATTGATCGAAATTAAATATTAAGAAAAAGACGAAAAGATGCAGCTATTTTTGGGTATGTCAGGTACTTCAACAATTTTTAGATAAATATTTGCGTTGTTTATTTAAATATTTACGACGTAGATGTAAGCGAATTAATATGAACCAATAATTACCCAGTTCGAATTTATTTAAAATACAGAAGTAGGAAACGAAGAAGAGGTATTAAATGTACTTTAAATTATTTCATTATTGTCGTTATATTTATGTACAAATGAATATTATAAATCATACAATTAATTGCTTCTATATTCAATACATAAAAATAATTAACTTCTAAAATATTAAAAATAATAGTAAGTTAATTTTTACACCTCCGGTTGAAACATGAGATTAGAAAGAGTTACTGGCTCTGTGTTTCGAGATATGTATGTTTAAAAGGCACACGAATTTGTACCACAGCAGTCCTAATTCAGATGAAATACGATACTGGAATTTCATATATACAATTGGAGGTACATTGACTATTCTGTTTCTTATAGATTTGTTCCTTATGCACAAATAATTTTACATTTATTATAGAGCATCTGTTTTTATTAAATACCTTCTCTGCATTCATTATGTTTACAAGTTGACTTCGCATAAAAAATACTTCTTTTATTGTACATAAGTCTGTGACATACTTGCATTGAAATATACTTGCAGATATTAACCGTGAAAAATAATATATTATACATTTTTACATTAGAGGTACGAGTCAGATGGATTGACTTATTTTATTAAATTAAGTAACGATTTTATATAAAAATATTATATAGCATGTGACATAAATAATTAAGTATATATTTTTTTACAAATTATATGAAATAGGCATTGTACAAAATGTATCGTTTTAAATAGTCATAATATTAGTGTGAGGACATAAAATAAATAATAAATAGATTTTAGATTCAATATCGCTCGAGTCATATACACACTGCATGTTAACTGTTAGCATATAATAAATAGTAGTCACTCAAATTTCATAATCTTTTTTTTAAGGCACCACATTGTAGTTGTTACGAAGACGAAACATCGCGAAAAGTCTATATTTGTCATATTTACTTCTAAATTAGAAGTTATACCTCTACACAATATTACGTAAACGTAATCTGTCAAGGTTCAGCAATCCAAGTACCCAAATAGGTACAAACGTTTTAGTAAATACATCTTATTCGCTCGATAATGACGCGTTTACATCGTATCGCGAAAACTTCAGTACACACATTATGCGAACAATGCTATTTGTATCTTCTAAAAGGAAAACATCTCGATAAAGTTGCACATTCTCATAACATAACATTTTGACAAAAAAAATGTTAATACTTATATACTTTATTTCGTTCAACGGATTTCGCGAGAAATACTTAGAAAATATTATACAGTCGTTGCTCGCATTTCGTACGCTTCCATAATCTTTGTCACCATATTATTAACAGTTATAGAGGAGATAATTAAATTTTTCTACTTTGCTAAATAATATCCTTATAGTTTCATGGAAACTGTCGTATACCACAGAGCATAGTAAAGCATCTTCTTTGACGTGCTCTTAAGTCAATTCGTTAACATCGCACGCTTTGTCTATCCCAATTATCACACATTCAATTCAGAAAGAAGACTTGGGCAAACAATGCTCTGCATTGAATGTATGATACAAATATAAATGTGTCTTTGAGAACATTTATATACAAACGTAAACACTGCACGCATTGGTTCCGTGAGTGAGTATAAAGACATCTTTTTGAGTCATAATACTTTTGTTTCTCAATTCAAATAAGCACGTTAAATCATTAGCGATGTGAAAGTACCCTGTGAATTCTGATTGTCAGTGCTGTGCAGGGAACTATAAGTTACTTCGTGCTCTATTCAAGATTAGTTTACAACTTTTTTATTTATTAGTTCACATCTTTTTATTTTCTTTTTTCCATATATTCAAAATAATGGATACTATAATAGCCGAAACGATCAATTTCAACGTAAAACTTCCAGCAAACACACCTTGAATAGAGTTGTCAGTATTTATATATATTGGGTGCTTGCACTTCGCTATATGTTACTAAAGAAAAGAGGAAGAAAACTATAAATCTATCCTAGTCAGCCTTCTGTATGTTCCCGCTTTGCATGGTACTTGAGCAGTAGCTGCCGGTCTTGCCGGTACTTATTATTAGTGTTTATGTTGGTTAGAATCTGAATCCGGTTCAGAACTGGAACCGGAAGACTCCCCAACATTAATGTTCGCATTGCAGCGCGTGCTCCTTCGGCTACTGGAAGTCGTGTGCCTGCATTTTTCACTACGGTCCATTGTACCTACAATAATTTGATATAAAAATTATTACATCCAAATATCAAGGTTGACATAATGTGTCAGTCAAAAGTCTTATGACTATTGTTTTTCCACCAGCATACTTTTATTTGAACATTATAACATATACTCACTGGTTAACGGTGTGTGAACTTCCACCTTTATATTAGCTGTGGCAGTGACTTTAGTTGTGATATGAGATGTTGATGTCACTGGTGATATTCGACTAGACCCACTTGTATCTGATCCACTACAGTTCTGTTAGTTAAAACAAGAGCACACATGTTAATCATGCTTCATAGGTACAGAACACATCATTCGTACAATGTTACAAAACGTAAGTAGTAATAAATGTATATTTCTAGGTGTAAGCAATTAATGTCAGATTATTATAGCGACTAATATTAAAAGAAAAACTCTCTCAATTCAACAAAAGTATATTTAAAGTAAATATGGAACAAGTTCTCACAAATTCGTTTCACTGTAAATAACTTATAATACACCTCACAACCCACCTGATTACCACACGTCGACGTTGTCTCGACTTTCAATTCTGGCTGAACGATTATACAGGATTCTTGCGTACTGTGCCACGAATTGGGTTCCTCGGTAATTGTCGTCAGGGAAGGCTCAGTGTGTAACCTAGCATTATCGATCTTGTACGATCTTCTCGGTGGCGCTGGGGGCTTCGATCTTCTGACGATCGGCGAAGCAGGTGGTGTCGGTGTTGAAATACGATCCGGATGATCATTGGGTATTACTTCCGGACATGGTCCAATTAAAGACAACAAAATAGGCAGGAAAAATAAACCGTTCACCAACCCAATCCCAATTAAGCAGAGCAACACCAGGAAAAAGTATCGTACGATAAACTCGAACTCGGAGAAGGCTAACATTACGATAGCCAGCAGAGTCGTTAAAGCCCCATGAATTACAGGCGCATACATGTGTTCCAACGCTAGGCGGACCCTTCGATCTCTGCTTCCGATACTCGTGACGAAACTCTAGAAAGAAAAAAAATTATAAATAATAGTTATACTAGTCAATAGAAGTTGAAATTATGAGAATGGTCTCATGTGTCTTAATTTACGGAGTTAAACCTTTTCAGATAGAAATACTATTAACCCTTTAAAGACGAATGCCGTCATTTTATTGACATCAAGCTTTCATATTTCGAGTACGAAGTTGTGAACAAACAATTGATTTCTTCAAATAACAAGAGATCAGTGATTAGTTTTCTTTTTCTCTGGCATTTAAGACTTCGATGTACAATTTAATTTCCCTTGCGAAATGTTTTCAATACTTCAAGAAATCGTCGTCCGCAAAGGGTTAAATATTATCCATACGCAATGTAATTAGGAATTAAAAACTTAAAAAGAATAACTTTCACCAAAATGATCAGTTACATTAAATAAGTAATTTTTCTTTACTGTTAGAAACAGTTTTAATATTAAGTGTAGCTCTAATTAAATACATTAACGGCATTTTTTTGAAACATTATATAAGAATAAAAAATTAATTATTTTGCATGAAACATGAAACTATCTCCTGAAGTTTATGTCTGTATACTAACCAGACAAATATGCACCGTGAAGTGTACAGCAATACCAACGCTAACGACCAAAAGGACAGCTGGAACAGCGCTCAGTTTTATATCACATAAGCCCATGATCCCGAGAAGTTGTAAAACAACAGCAGCAAGCGAGGTACCAACTAACAAAGCAGCCCACAGGTTCAATAGCAGTATCCCAACTACCACGACACTGGCTGTCAGAGCAGCGAGTAAAGCAATGCCCAGACAACTCCTCAAGTCCATGTACTGTTCCCAAAATTGGAACGGTATGCCGGACGGAAAATTAGGTAGTCCCCGTTCTTCAAATTTTCTGCACAATCTCCTTACGCTACCTATCAGCTCAGTGATCTCTTGCGTGTCGGTGAGTTTGTGCAAATAAAAAGGCATTTGAGCATAAGTGAGAGGCATGCTCTTAGGGATTTTCAGCTCGTGATCATTGGTGTAGATCCACTGCCTTGGTTCCGGCCTCAAATTCGCTTGGGACGATCCGTAAGCGAGGACATCATTGGATACCCAAGCACTCAAATAATTGTAAAATGCACGAGGGTTGATGATTCCTTCCGAATCGACGAGTCTAACTTGCGTAACCAGCGACTTGTCGATAGGATTGTCAACATGGCCAGTCTGCACTAAAAGTTTATACGCGAGAATGGCCTCGTCGCTGGCGTTCTTGTACCACCTCTCCTGCGTGATACACCCATTGCTGTAGTCTTTATCGAAAGCGCTTTGCAGGCCTCTCAGCCAGTCTCTGAATAAACTCAGCCAGAACTCGGGCAGGCCACCGTTGTCATTCTTGATCACATTCTTTATCCTCATGAAAGCGTCGTGGTACTCGTACAATAACTTCTGGTTATTGGGATACTCGAAATCCCTCCCGGTTACGGCGTACATATTGTAGAATCCGAAGTGTTTCGCCTGGGCAGCCAAGAAAGCGTGTTCGTTGGAGTTCTGTGGAACCAAGTCGGTTAACTCTAAACCGTCATTCACCCTGATGGCTTGCCAGACACTACCAGCCAGAACCGCGATTAGTATCATCATTCCAAAGACCTTGGTTGCCGGTTTAGTGACGAACGGGGCGTAATGCCTGGCAGCCATTTGGGTCAACGAGAAGCTAAGGCAATCGTCCTGGCTGCAACCGGTTAGGGTGTCCTCTTCGCTGCATTGCTTGTCCAAGTCCACGTCGATGTTACCGCCTACCCAGGACTCGTTCTGCGCGTTCTGAGACGTCAGGATCTGGGTGCAGGTCTCGCGACGCTCCGGCGGGATCGCTCTGGTTACTGTTTGCTTCGCGGTGCCATTCCTGCTCGCATACTTGTTCTTCCCGGTATTCGAGGACGGTAGGCAACAACAGAACACGTCCGAGCGTCCTGAGCGGCGTCTTCTTAGGTCTAAGCTGACCATGGCTGGAAATACCAGCAACATGGCGGCAAGATTAAACAGCAGCAACACTCCAGCTTGCAGGCAGAACACTCGCAGGGCTGGAATCGGTATCAACGCCGCCGCGAAGAAAGCAGAGACATTGCTAATTCCTGCCAAGAGAACTGAAAGACCGGTCCGTTTCAGAACCACTCCAGTCTGTTCTCCGCTTGGAACTTCGTTCACTGATAATTCAGCGTACGTGTGCGTCAATAGGAACATGTCGTGGACACCGAGCCCTAATGCTAGGAACGGAACAATTTGAGTGGTCGCGGCGTTGAAGGGAATTCCCAGAAGGGCGCAGAACCCCAAACCCGCTGCCACCGTGGCACAGATTAACATCACGCCGGCTATCCCGACACCGGCTTGCGAACGTACTGGATCTTTCCATCGAAGGAGGACTATGCCTGCGTACAACAGCTGTAACAAAACATACGCAATTCGTATTGATATTAATACTACACGTTTAATGTGCGTAAATTCTTTAGTAAATAAATGTTGAAGCGTTGGCTGAATTGCTGGGAACTACTAAAATATACGACTCTATGATACACGATAAATGCAAGGGAAGAGAGTTAAGGAAAAGATATTGAAGCTTATTTGCATTACTCGTTTACACAGAATTTACAAAGAAAGATAATTCCAATACTTTTGCTCATCACTGTACTTTACAAACTTAACATTTTATAAAACTAATTATGTACCAGAAACTCTGGATACCATAACAGTTCGAGCGCAACATCCATCAACGTGCATCGAGTTTACAGCAACACTGTTACGTTAGAGTTTAGATCACATATTAGTGTCAAGTATGAGTAACGATCTGCTAATACTTTGAGAGAGGTTCCTAAATGGTTACTGACCATTATTGCACAGCCAATGGCGATCTTCATGACGGGCACCTCGCTGTACTTTCCGAGTATGTCGTTCATCGTTGTCGTGCTGAACGCATACAAATTGTACGGCGCCGAGCCGTTCGCGTCCAAATGCTTTTTCACCTGATTGCTGAACGCCCGTTGCCAAGTTTCAAGCACTTGGGACGCCTTCTCCTGGGACCAGTCGATGTGGTGTACCTTGTAGGTGCCGGCGAAGAAATCGTAAAGTTCTCGTTCACCCATTAGCTGCACAACGGTCTGGAGCGCAGCTGCACGGGTCAAGTGACCAGTCTTATTGTGCTTAGCGCCGCCGACGAGCAGCTCCTCGGGCCAATGCATATATTTCGCAGCAAAACCGTAACAGCCGCCTGTTAATTCCGCCCCTATGTCTGGTACCTGCCGAAAGAAACCGTATCGTATAAATACCTTCTCGAAATACTTGGAATATTCTTAAGACCACATAATTTTGGGTTTATATACGTATACCTAGAAAGGCCAAAAATAATGATTTTCTTATGAATATGTTTTATGCGAGTGTGCTAACGTCAAAGTGTATTCTTTAACACTAATACCGAGCAATTAGAGTGACTTATTTTGAATTTTGTATAAAAATTATAACAATACGTTTCTTGATATTCGAAGGGCGTCTTAGGCTTGTGAAAACGATGTTTCTACACGAATATTTGCTTCTTTAAGTTCGTACTGAAGGAGTAGAATTAGTGGCTCTAATGAAAGTTCCTCTTTTAAATTGTATTATTTTAAATAATGAATTTAATCATATATAAGCATAAAAATGGGAATCTTTTTTTAAACAATGTATCAACAGTTGTACTACTTTCAGCTACTTTTCTTACTACGTCTTCATCAATTTTCACGAAAATTCATCTATTAGACGTATAAAACACGTGCATTCTACTTTAGTTCATAAAATACTTCTAACATACTTCTTCAAAACAAGTTTGAGTAATAAATTTTTATTTTTCTTCTTACTTATTTTATTACCTAATCGCAGGTAATCTTGCTCGAATAACCGTGTATTCGTAAAATAAATAACTTCAACATCGGCTATTTCATACAGGACTCAAACGCGTCCCCATTTCCTAACAAACGTGTATTTGTCAGCCTCGCGTATTCTCACTGCGAATGAAAAATGTTGCCGAACCTTTGGCTAGACAACGGTATTTATAGCGCAAGGTAGTAACGCGAGGGAATCGCCTTACACTCGCGGATGATTTAAAGCCGGTCACCTGGAGGGCCGTGATATAATAGCCTACGTTAAAATATCACTTCGAATTTCATTAAATCGCGACACTAATGAATTGTGAATTGTTCAACGATAACAATGCGCCCGTTCGATACAGTGGTTAAGTATCTCCATGGATCGGTACTGTCTACGTTATTTATTTTGGTATGATATAAAGGGACATTGGACAAGGTCCAAGCAACTAGACGGCGACCGTTTAAAGTCCTGTCTGGTATGCTCCTTTTATAGGTCCCCATAAAATCTCGTTGTGAGGTCCGCGACACCCCAGGCTACCCTATGTCGTCTCACTTACGATCACGTTTTTCAAATTTCTCGGGGCACCGGGGGAACGCCCATTCGAACCCTCTTCCCGTCCAGAAACTATTCTTTCGACAGGCAAAAGAATTCCTAACGTGACTTGACACGGCTTCCAGATTCGGTCACGCGTCAGAGATCCGTAGATAGGCCGGTTGCCAGCTAACCAAAATCAGACGAGACCTTTGGTCGACAAATGAATTAAGTCCGTTCCCGATCTATCGCGGGGAATAAATTGTAACCTTGGCATTTTTATAGAAGCTCATAGGAAAAATGTAGAATTCAGGTTTTATCGTCTAATAAGCTCTGCGTTTGTGAGAATATACAGGAGGAAGGAGTATGTTCTTGATATGGGCTCGCCAATATGGAGGAGTAAGTGTATTGGCTAAAGAAAAAGTAATAATTCAAAAAACATTTTTTTGTTTCTTTCTTATTATATGTTAGGGTATAAAAATATTTGATACTGTATAGTTTATTATTATTAGTTCAAACCAATATATATTATTAGCTTATTAGAGTATTTATGGCAATACTTTATAATTCTTTGTATCGAACAATTCGTTGAATGTAAAAATAAATTAAGCAATAGAATTTTTACGATTAAAAGTTGCTTTTAGAGTATAGTTAGATTCTGTAATTAAAAAAATAACTAGCTTTTGTTTGGTAACAATGAATGTTTCGTAAACACTGTACAACAATATTATTACATACAAAGAATCTGAGAAAAAGAAGGATATATTAATGAAGGCAATTCGAAAACAGTTGTTTCTTTTTTTTTCAAAGATCAACATTAAAATTCATTAATGTTTCGAAATCTTGCAACAGAATCAATGTATTCTAATAAAATCAGAATCCTCAGTGGTCGACTATGCTTCGAAAGAAGCAATTTCGATTATTCGTGAAATTCCATTGGACGTCGAACACAGGTCACACATCGAATGAAACCTGTCGGTTTCAGGATCGCCGCTTAATTATGTAAGTACTCTGTAATTATCAATTAATTATCCGACAAAGAGAGGGAAGGTGCGAAGACCGAAGAAATTTCGAGTTCGCGGAAATCGGCGGGATAAGAGGGCGAAGAAAAATGGAAGTGAAAAAAACCGAAGGGGAGAGATACGGTGGCTCGTTGATCGCATACTAACGAGGTAGTATTAATTACCAGCGATTAAATCGTCGGGCATTGCATAATAATTAAGCAAATAATCGAGTCACGACCGCAGAAATTGGGGAGCGCACATTATTTGCCGGCAGTCTCTAACTTTATTCACCTTCAGCTTCATATATACTCTATCTGTACAAATTTTCATTGAGGTTATAAAAATTCAATGAATATTAATTAATGATGACCGTAATAATAATTTATATTCGATAACACCGAAGGAATATATTTTAAATAAAAGTTAATTATCATTCTCCGGGAATGAACTTGAAAAATAAGAAGAGAAACTACTTGCCACTTATTCCAATAAATTTATGGCGAGCCGACAGTTTGATAGATCAATTAATTATTAAAAGTATTAAAAGTTACAAATACTTTATTAAATTTCTTCAATATACAAATTTGTTATAGTATACTGGAACGCAATACTAAATTACAGCTACTTGGTACCGCGAATAATTTCTCCTCTCTTCTGAAAATATTATCCCAAAGTATGATTGCATAAACGGAACGAGTGCACTCGTTATGCACGATTTCAGTTAATTGTTATATCGTTATCCCTCTGTATGTTTAGTGGTTCTACCTGGTTAGCTCCCATTGCATTTACTCGTTTTCCTGTCTGCTAGTTTCCTATGCTCGCATTTAGCTGTGCTCAACCTAATAATTATAAAATTGGTATCTTCTACGATAATTCTATGTACCAGTTTAGATTTGATAACTGCAGTTACACTGCACTGCGCCTCTCGCGTATTTTGTGCGTCACAAGTCGCGTGATGTTCACTGTTACATAAAAATTTCAAATACTTTTTGTTCATTGTATCTTTATTATTGTGTCATTCTTCGAAAAATTAAATACGTCATAAATACAACTTGTATTTGTCAGTATAATTAAATATACAATATAAACAGAAGCAGTGTATTCGATTGAAAAGGCGTACAATGTTTTATACCCTAAACCAAATTTTCAATTAGTTAATAACCTTGGACATCTATACGTCTAAAAACATTATAGATAAAGAAACAAACGAAGTAACAAAAAAATTGTTTAAGATGCAGGAAAGCTGTTAAATGATTTCTTTGAATCTCTAGTTAACACTGGGTATTAAGATTTGTTCCAGTTTCAGATATTTGATTGTATTATGAGCTGAATCATACGATGCAACTTACAAGGGAATCATTTTCAACCAGCACACATCGATTTTGATGAAACTTGTGTGAGACGTAGTTCTTAAGAAAATATTTAACACGTATTTTTTCTTATCGCCCAACATCCACTTTGAAGGGATGAAAACACATCTCGAAGTTCAATATCTCTGACATTATTGTTTAAATTGTTCGCTTCAAAATAAACAATTTAGATTTATTTTTTACACACACCAGTTTCAGAGATATCGTAAAAAATATATTTTCAACTCTCAATTTTGAAGGATGTTTCTAACCAATTTTTCAACTCCAAGGAGATGCAAAAAAGAAATTTAAATTGTTTATTTTGAGGCGAACAATTTAAACCCGAGTGTCAGAGATATTGTAAAAATATATTTCGTAACTCTCAATTTTGAAGGGTGTTTTCACCCGTTTAAAGTGGATGTTGTTCGATAAGAAAAAATACGTGTCAAATATTTCCTTTAGAACTATGTCTCACATAAGTTTCATCAAAATCGGCGTGTGCTGGTTAGAAAGGTTCCTTTGTAGTTGTAAACGCAGCTTTACTCTCACCGGTGCAATTATCATCCGGTATAATTATACCGAACCACATCCGAAATTTGTCACGAAGCTCCGTGAAAGAATTCCAATTTAACGCGATTCCGTTTCCCGATATCCGAGCATCCTTTAATTCTCCGTGCATTCGCGGCGCGACACCCGCATGCCAACAGAGCCTACGTGTAGCGATAGAGCCCACCCAACGTGATTATTGGCCACGAGTATCGGTTCGCGTTGCCTTCTCCACGTCACGATGTCTTTCTCAATGACTTTTAACGTTCGCCCAGCGAATGCTGGATCTACGCCGACCCGACTCAGCATACGACAGTAATTACTAGACAGTGGCTCTTTACACATTTACGGGAAATTTGAAAGTGGAAAATTGCACAGAATGCACATAGTAGAAAAAAATGAATGGAAAAATCATGTTCACCAAGAAAACTTTCATCGTCTACATAATTTTCATCGTCAAGTTCACCAGGAAACATTATTTTCTACCTTAAATATTTTCCAAATTATATTCTTGAAAATTTGGATGTGCAGGAAGATCCACAGTCTAGTAATTATCTCGACCAACGAACCATTCGAAAAATAAATTTTCCAATTAGGATCTTTAGATGTTAGGTTGGCCGTCTTGTCTCATTTTTTAATGTAGTTCAAGGGCGAACTTCACTGTACCATGTTAAACTTCGTTAAAGTGTGGTTTGCCTGTTTTGCTTGATCATTTTCTGTCTTCTTCCACTATATTTATTTTTAATATTTGTTCTAATATATACTTTCTATTTTGATTAATACCGAACTTTTCATTAGATACTGTTATTGACAAAATGGAACAATATAATAGAATATCTGAATATTTTTATTCCAATTCTGGTGATGCTTGAAAGGAATGCAAGAACTATCCATAATTCTATCTATATATAAATTTGTAAGTTATAGTCGATATTTTCTTAACACGTTACTTTTTTCGAAGAAAGA